GAATTGGAAGACTCCTTGGATGCTCAAGATGAATGACGGACATGGCAGTAACAAGCGCAAGAGGCGCCGGAGCAACAGCAACAGTCGCGAGCAGCGCCGAGACAACAGTCGCAAACAGTGCCAAGAGGGGCACCAGCGACAACACTAGCGATGGCTTTGACAGCACCGACGGTGCATGCAGCAGTAGCAGTTTCTACAACTGTCAAGATGAGACTGACAAACCCACCCCCATTCAACCCCAGCGACAAGAACGTCACTGTGTCTGCATGGTTGTTCGGCGTGGAGGTTGTCTTTAATGTTGCGCAAATTGCTGATGATGCCACCCGCATTAATCTTGCAGTGTCACTGTTACGAGGACCAGCGTTGGAGTGGTGGCGGCGCACACTACAGTCAGAAGGGACTCCGGAAGGTATATCACATGCGAACGACGGGACCTGGACATCTGTCACACAATGAGCAACCTCAATCTTCGGAGTGGCTACGATACGCACATGGACGGAGTGGGGCGCAGCCTTGCAAACCAGATTCGAGCACGTATCTGCCTCGGATTCTGCTCGCAAGAAGCTGCGTGCCTAGAAGGAGTTGACTTCGGTCCAAGACTACGCAGCGACGTTCTGCGCTTTGGCCGACCAAGTGGACGATATGGGCAAGTTCTTCAAGGTGCGACGTACGAGGCCGTGCGACTTCAACGATGCCGTCCAGCTGGCCGAATCAACCAACGCGCTAATGCTGTGGGCCAGAATGAGTTCTCGGGAGGGAGATCATTTTCGTGGATCGACTCAACAGCCCACGATCAAAGGTGTGGGTGCACCTAGACGAGCCTCAGTGCCGTGTTTTAATTGAAACCAGCCGGGCCACTGGAGGAAAGACTGCCCGAAGATGAAGCATGGAAACAGGAACGACGGAGAGGGGTCGGGAAAAGAGACGAGTCAGTAGCAGTCAGGCTACCTACTGACGAGACCCCGTCGGCCGGCAATCAACATCCACACCGAGTAGTGGTACCGATACGGGCTATCGACCGCAGCCAGACGAATAAAGTGGATGAACACGTGAATCATCCTGTCCTGGTCGTGGTGTTCCAGCGCTTGCAGCAGAACCGACTGATTACAAAGGGGTCTAAGTGCGAGTTCTTACAGCCGGAGCTGGAATTCTTGGGGCACGTGGTTTCAAGGGAGGGTATTAAAATTGACCCTCGCAAAGTAACAGCAATTTCATAGTGTAAGCCGCCTACGAACATCACGGATCTACAGAGTTTCCTCGGCTTCGTTAAACACGTCCGCCGTTTTGTACCGAATATGGCGGGGGTGACCAAGCCGTTAGCCGATCTTCTGCACAAAAGTGCACTATTTTTGTGGAGGGAGAGAGAGCAGTTAGCCTTCAACGAGCTCAAAAACATATTGAGTTTGCCCCCGGTTCTTCGGCTGGCAGATCCATCTCGACCGTTCGAAGTCGTAACGGACGCCAGCGATTTCGGCATCGGCCCTTGTTGTTCAGGATCCGTCGTTTCGAGATCTTGCTACGAATTCAATTTTCAACTAAATGCAAATACGCTTAGTAGGATTAAGCGCCTTAAGCTTAGCTACCATCTCCAAGTTGAATCAATCGTTAAGATGGTCTACAGAGTGAGAACGACCTGAAAACGTCGAGTAGCTGCATGACTAGAATAGTAGAGGAAGTACAAGCATCAAGGGATAGAATGTTGGAGTTGGGGGCTCCAAGAGAACCATGAGAGGGAAGGGGTTCTCCAAGAGCTAGGAAAGGATGGTAGGAACCTTCCTAGTAGCAAGGATGCAACCCTCATCATGAGGTCCTTCAGGTGTCACATCCAAAATCCAATCTAGTTGGATTTTGCCTAGGTGCTGCAACATTTTCAACCCATACTAGAAACTTCTAGCCACCCCAATCCAAAAGTCAAAGTTGCCTTCCTAACCACCCAACCAAAGATCCCTTTTTAGTCATGTCCCAATAATCACCAAAAGTAGATGATACCTCAAAATGAGATAGAATACCCAAAACTGGAAAAATCTTGTAACTTGGGCGATCTTAGTCGGAATAAGGCGATCTTGGTATCGTTGGAAAGCTCTGGATTTCTCATGCATGATCAAGCATGTAGACTTGGAGAAAACACAGAGATGATAAAATCCAACAGCCATGCACAATGACATATGCTCATGCAAATACTGCAAGCACACATAGCGCAAACACTCGGCAGGACGTTAGGATGACATGCACTCAAACTGACGTGCATTCAACAGCCCTGACCTTCTACAGGATTCAGCAACGGACTGCAACCATTCGCATGCCAGTCACGCAAGATGCAGCCACCCGAGCGCAATTACCCTGTACACGACAAAGACATGCTCGCCATCGTGCATGCATTTCGTACCTGGTGCTGCTACCTTACGGGCGCCGACGTTACGATCAGGACAGACCACCTTGCGGTGGAGAAAGAGGCTCCCGCCGTGACAAGGCACCCGGAGGACCTCCAGTAGACAAGGTACCTCCAGGCGCAGGACGCTCGGGCTCAGCACCCCCAAATTCAGCACCCCCAAGCTCAGCACCCGCAGGCTCCAAACGCTCAGGCTCAGCACCCCCAGGCTCCGCACCCTCAGACTCAGCAACCACAGGCTCAGCACCCCCAGGCCCCGCACGCCCAGGTTCAGCACCCCCAAGCTCAGCACGCTCAAACTCAGGACCCCCAGGCGCAGCACCCCTAGTAGTACCAGAGTCGTCAGCTACCTCGACAGGCTTGACAGGGTCTACCTGGGACACACCTGAGGGAGCAGGACCCTGAGGGGGGAGGGGGTCTACCGGAGGAGGACTTGGTACGAGGAAGAGCGGCAGGGGAGGGAGAGGGGCAGTGCGGTAGGAGAAGAGACGGTAGAAGGGAACCGACTCGTCAAACGTGACGACCTGAGAGGGCAGGACACGGCGCAAGGTGGGGTGGTAAAACTGCCAACTAGGTGCCTGAGGGGGAAAGCCAAGGAAGACACAGGGAATGGCGCGGGAGGAGAGCTTGTCCGCGGAGGTATCGCGGACAAAGGCACGAGATCCCCAGACCCGGAACGCTGACGCATCGCCAACCTCTCCCGTCAAACGCAGTGTCGGCGAGGTCTCCGGCAAGGAGACACGGGGTCGGAGGTTGAGCTGATGTGCAGCGTACCGGACCGGAAACGGCCACAGAAAATGGAGGGCAGCCGCATGGATCATGGAGGTACGAGCGACCTCCATGACTAAGCCAATACGGCGCTCAGCAACCCCATTCTGCTGCGGAGAGGCCGGAAGCGTGAACGTCTGGCGAATGCCCTCCCCACGACAAAGGTCCCGCAAGAGGTCGGAGGCGTACTCACCACCTCTGTCAAAGTGCAGACGCAGGACAGGAATATCCGAGTCGAAACGCTCGCTGAGCTGGAGACGGATAGCGCAGGTCCAAGGGATCAAAACATCAGGGACCTCCCCCTTGCTGCGCAAGGAGAAGGCCATGGTGTAACGCGAGTAGTCGTCAACAACCAGCAGAAAGTAGCGCTCGCGGCCCTGTCCATGGACGCGGACTTGGCCCCACACGTCCATGTGGAGAGTCTGTAGGGGAGCAGTCGTCGGGGGAAACGAGGAGGAGTGAGGAGCGGCGCGCTGTCGCCCCTCGACACAGGGAGGCAGGGAGGGGCAGGCGAGGGGGGGAGGGCTGGCAGAGACCTGGGAAGACCAGAGACAAGGAGACGGGAGTGCATGCCACGGAGGCGTGGTAGGGAGGGGTGACCAAGGCGGTGGTGCAGGTTGGGTGACCACTTGACCAAGTGGGAAGATTTACTCCCTATGTTGGAGTTTGCGTATAACAACGCACCCTCCGAGACGACCAATCAGTCGACATTCTCCCTCAATTACGGGATAGACCCCGTGGTACCCTCTTCAACGGCTCCCGACAAACCGGTACCACAATCCCAACAGTGTGTATCGGAACTTCAAGCAGCCCGCGACAGAGCAGCCGGAATTATTCGAAAGGCTAACACCGTTGCCAGCCGCTACGCCGTCAGGCACCGAAGGAATTTACCCTTCAACGACGGGCAGATGGTCCTCTTGGACACGAAAAATCTTCGCCTTCCCCAGCCCGCGAAATTGTGTCCCCGCTACGTGGGACCTTTCCGCATCATCAGGATGCCGAAACCGCTTTTACCGGACGACTGGAAAATTCATGACGCCTTCCATGTCAGTCTCCTCCGTCATTATGGGGCTTCGCAGTCGTCCGATATCGCATGACCTAACCTCGCACGGCCAAGTGTTTGGCCTGTGGCAGAACCGGTACTTCAGCCCGGGAAAATTCCGGCACATCGCATTTGTGCAACACCAGCAGGACGCCAGGTGGATTTCCTCCTCCGTTGGGTGGATCGCACAAGCAAAAACGACACGTGGGTCCCCGCTGACTCACTACAAGGTCACTCGGTATTACGAAATTACCATTCCCGCCGACACATGCCTCGTATTGACCATCTTTCTTAAAAGGGGGGAGGAGGGAGGTAGTGTAAGGAAATTGCCTAATTCCTTACTGAGGCATCCGATACGCGTAAACTCCAAATTTCGGAATGTATGCTCGGTCAAACGACCTCGCCTTCCGAACGTCTCTCGCATAGACTATGCTAGGTCTCGTTATTTCGACAGTAGTTGTAATCACGTCCGCAATATTGCATTCTTCGCGCTCTCTTCTTATACAACTCATAACAAAATGTATGGAAAGCCTGAAACATACATCATCTCACCCCACCGCACTGAAGTGCACATTCCAATTCGTCCCGCGCCCACCAGTTCCTCGAATGCTAGGGTAAAACCAACGCAGCGGTGTTCGATCCAGCCTGGGGATTGCCACAGCGACTTTCACAGGGACTTGCCATTTCGATTCTGCGGGTTCTGCGGGCCTGAAGCTGAGGATTCCCTGCTGTTGTGACGACTCGTGTGAGGACGACTCTCACTGCGACCTTATTAGTCTTCGAGCACTTTCGTTGGTTAGAATGGCTGCTACGTCACCGATCGGGGGCTGTCAGGCGACCCTCTCATTTATCCTTCGCGTCGTCAGTCGTCCCGACGGCCAGTTCCAGCACGCGCTTGTGTGCAAGAAATGGTATCGCATAGCTCGACGCGTGCAGGAGCACATCCAGATTCGCGAAAGCAGTCGCATGCGTCCTCGCGAGCTGCTCGCGCACCTCTCGTCATTCCCAAGGCTGCAAAAGCTCGTCCTCGCCGCCAGCAGCATCACGTCCGTCCCTGACTCCCTCCTCTCGGGGATAGCCGACACGTGTCCAGATCTTACGGACCTCCATGTCGATACGATGAAACGAGAGTACAGTCGCGGGGGGTTCACTGAGCACGGACTTTCGTATCTCTTTGAGAAGTGCACGCGGCTGGAGGGACTTCATCTTGATTGCCAGTCGAATCTCACCGCCATTCCCTCTTCAATCGGCGGTCTTGCGTCGCTCAAGAGCCTGCACATCACGGACAGGGGGAGAGTCGCTCTCCTTCCAGACGCGTTCACCTCGTTACAGGCACTCACCCATCTCGTGATTGAAATGCCCGGCCTGCATGAACTGCCTCAGGGCTTCGGCAACCTGAGGCTGCTCAAGTCCCTCCAGCTAAACAGATGCATGGGTCTCAGCTCCATTCCTGATTCTTTTGGGCAGCTTACCAACTTGACTCATCTTTTCATCAACGGCTCCGCGGCAAGTCTTCAGCTGCCCGAATCCACCTCCAATCTCTCGTCCCTACTGACCCTCGAAATTTCCAACTGCAAAGACCTTGCACCGCTGCCCGAGAGCTTTGGAAACCTGCCGGCGCTTGAAACCCTACGACTGGAGGAGGTGGGGGGGATTACCAACCTGCCCGTCAGTCTTGTGCATCTGCAGCGGCTGCGGCTCCTCTCTGTGATCAACTGCTGCAAATTAGTCTCTTTCCCTTCCCCCCTTTCTCACCTGACTTCTCTGACGGACCTTATTCTCGTCGGCCAAGCACTCGACCTTCTGCCTCTTGACGTCGGTTTACTGCCGCACCTACGCGCTCTCAAGCTGGACGGAATCCGCGTGCATCTTCCTCCCTCTATTACATTTGCTACTGCACTGAACGAGCTTACACTTTATGACTTCAGAGCTATATATTCGCTACCCAAGGAATTCGGGCAACTGACTGCCCTGGCGACCCTGCGCCTCATCGAGCTTCCGCGGCTCAGCAACCTGCCCGCATCGCTGGGCGACCTGCCGAGCCTCAAGGAGCTGAAAATTTCTGAATGCAGCCAGCTGGCGCAGCTTCCAGACTCCCTGACTCTGCTGTCTTCCCTTGAGCTGCTGGACATCAGTCACTGCTGCAAGCTGACAGCGCTACCGCAGGGCATGGGGGATGGTCTGCATAGCCTGCGCCGACTGATGCTGCTCGAATGCACGGCTCTCACCCACCTCCCTCCCTCCTTCTCCAACCTCTCCTCCCTCGAAACCCTAGAAATCCATCAAGCAACCAGCTTAGGCATGCTACCAGCCTGCTTCTCCCACTTGACAAGCCTCAAAAAGCTCTCTCTGCTTCTTACCGCACCTGCCCGCCCTGCCTGCCTCCCTCCCTGCCATCGGCCGGTCTCTCACCAGCCTCGAGCTGCTCGCCTGCACGCAGATCAAGGCGCTGCCAGAGGAGATCGGACGGCTGGGAGGGCTTGAAGCACTCAAGCTACACGAACTGCCCCACCTGAAGTCGCTCCCGCGCTCGCTGTGTCAGCTGAAGCGGCTGAAATCTCTGCAAGTGAGAAAATGCAGCGCGCTGCAGTCGCTGTTTGGGGATGAGGACCGGGGAGTCATATCGTATGGGTATGGCTTTGGGGCAGGAAGCACTCGTCTCGAGGTAGCTGGCCACGCCGGTTGCAGCAGTGCCGCTGGCAGCTATGGGGGATCGGAGGAAAAGGACAAGAGTGTGTTGCTGCCATTCCTAGAAAGTCTTGAGATTTCGGGCCCTCCACTGCAGCTGCTCGGTGCATCGCTGGGCTCCTTCCCGTCGCTAACAAATCTGGAAATCTCTGTAATGCATTGGCTCCGCGCGCTCCCAGACTCCATCTCTCGTCTCTCTCACTTGCAGTCACTCACGATCAGTTCTACCGCAAGCCTGCCAAGTCTGCCAGAGGCAATGCTGAAACTCTCAGCACTCACATCCCTCCGACTTGACGGTCTCGTGAGCTTGACTGAGCTGCCCAGGTCATTTGGGCAGCTGAAGAAGCTTCAGTCTTTGAAGATTTACAGCACCCCGGGACTAGCCAGGCTTCCCGAGTCCCTCCCTGATCTCTGCAGACTGGAGTCGTGTTGTTTGTGCGATGTCGGAATTTCGTGCCTTCCAGATAACTTCTGGAAGCTCTCGTCTTTAAAGGACCTCTCTCTCATGTCACTGCCCAAACTCTGCAGCCTGCCCGAAACTTTTTCGCAGCTGCCCAGATTGGAGGGCTTGACCCTGCTCGGGTGCAAGCGGCTGGCTCGGTTGCCCTCGGGGCTGCAGCAGATGGGGAAGCTGGAGGCATGCATTATCACAGACTGCCGGCTGCTGTCAAAACGACAGAAGATGGTGATTTGCGGTACAGCGAACCTGGACGAGGGAGAGCGTGCAGTGGGTGGCTTGGAGGAAGAAGGTGAAGAGGAAGTGGGGATGGGGGAGGAGGATGAGGGGAGTGAAAATATGGAGAGTGAAGAGGAGGACGGTGAGGGGAGTGAGGGGGAGGATGGAGAGGGGAGTGAAAGGGAGTGAGGACGAACATAAAGGAGCAGGGAGTGAAGGGAAGAGGAGTGGTGAAAAGGGGAGGATGTGGAGTGAGGTGAAGATGAGGAGGAAGAGGCCGGCAAGGATGGGGAGGGGGAAGGTGAGAGGTGGGGATGGGGAGGAGATGAAATTGGAGGTTTTGGAAAATGATTAGGATGGCCTCAAACATGTGATTTAATTAAATTGGTACCCTTTGTTGGCATAACACGTGCTGCATTTATGATTGTCCATGCACATGTATGTACGGTACGGTCAATTTGAATTGTGGAAGAAATGTATGGGCCCTGGTATGGGAAAAGTTGGAAGGAACGGAATTTTCGGGCTACTGGAACTTAATAAAAGAGTGTATGAACGTGATACTGTGATAAAGCCTGCTAGAATATTTGAAACTCGCATGGTCATTTCTACATGAATTACACTATCAGCAGCCTCCAACATACGTTAGAAACAGAAAGCACAAAGATCTGTCACTGTTGCTCGAGTCACAGACAGGTAATGCCAGGCACCATCAGATGAGGGCAGCTTGACTGAAAGGCATGGCATCAGATGAGAACTGTTGCAGATGGGTGGGTCATTGCCTCGAAGTCTTCAATTTTGTGAATGAGCTCGACTCACCATCCCTGTTATCGGCTGGGAGGCTCAGGACGGAGGAGTGAAGAGATGGGTTGGGACGAAATGGTGAGCATTAGAGTCATGGATCATGGGGTCGAGAAGAAATGCATGCAGCAAGGTGATGGAAGTGTGTGCGTGCACCAGTTGGAGGCATCAAACTTCACCTTAAAAGCCCTCCCTTCCCCGGACTCATGCCTTTCAGCATCACCTTGCGATGCAATGTCTCCCATTTCAGACACAGCAAACAAAACAAGTCACATTTCATCACACACACATACACACACACACACACACACACACACACACACACACACACACACACACACACATACCACCACCACCACCACCACCACCACCACCACCACCACCATGGCCAGACCGGCCTCCCATGAGTACGTGCTTGCAAGCACGCCCAAAGATTTCCATAGGGATATGGGCATTGTAACGTGAAACAGCAGCAGCAAACTGACCTTGCCGACATAGGAGGCAGCTGATCCATTATGACTTCCCATGTCTCTCGTGCTAGTGGCAATGATGCTGTTGGTGCAGCCGGCTGGTGCGGGTGTCAGTCGTGGCGGAGGTATCATGCGCCACTGCTGCTGCTAATGCGGGCGGCATTTGCTCCAATGGTAGTGGCCCCAGCGGTGTGGGCGACAAATGGGCGGGTGGCAATAGTACAGGCGACAGTGATGGCGGTGGTGTGAGGTGACAAAGCAGGTCAGGCGGCCAAGCAGCATGCGAAGCAGATCGAGTCATGGTGCAAGGAGCAGGTTGATGGCAGGGAGGTGGGTGGATGAGTGCGAGCTGGGTTGATGGCAGGGAGGTGGGTGGATGAGCGTGAGCTGGGTTGATGGCAGGGAGGTGGGTGGATGAGCGTGAGCTGGGTTGATGGCAGGGAGGTGGGTGGATGAGCGTGAGCTGGGTTGATGGCAGGGAGGTGGGTGGATGAGTGTGAGCTGGGTTGATGGCAGGGAGGTGGGTGGATGAGTGTGAGCTGGGTTGATGGCAGGGAGGTGGGTGGATGAGTGCGAGCTGGGTTGATGGCAGGGAGGTGGGTGGATGAGTGTGAGCTGGGTTGATGGCAGGGAGGTGGGTGGATGAGTGCGAGCTGGGTTGATGGCAGGGAGGTGGGTGGATGAGTGCGAGCTGGGTTGATGGCAGGGAAGTGGGTGGATGAGTGTGAGCTGGGTTGATGGCAGGTGGATGAGCGTGAGCTGGGTTGATGGCAGGGAGGTGGGTGGATGAGCGTGAGCTGGGTTGATGGCAGGGAGGTGGGTGGATGAGGGTGAGCTGGGTTGATGGCAGGGAGGTGGGTGGATGAGTGCGAGCTGGGTTGATGGCAGGGAGGTGGGTGGATGAGTGCGAGCTGGGTTGATGGCAGGGAGGTGGGTGGATGAGTGAGAGCTGGGTTGATGGCAGGGAGGTGGGTGGATGAGTGCGAGCTGGGTTGATGGCAGGGAGGTGGGTGGATGAGTGCGAGCTGGGTTGATGGCAGGGAGGTGGGTGGATGAGTGCGAGCTGGGTTGATGGCAGGGAGGTGGGTGGATGAGTGTGAGCTGGGTTGATGGCAGGGAGGTGGGTGGATGAGCGTGAGCTGGGTTGATGGCAGGGAGGTGGGTGGATGAGCGTGAGCTGGGTTGATGGCAGGGAGGTGGGTGGATGAGGGTGAGCTGGGTTGATGGCAGGGAGGTGGGTGGATGAGTGTGAGCTGGGTTGATGGCAGGTGGATGAGCGTGAGCTGGGTTGATGGCAGGGAGGTGGGTGGATGAGCGTGAGCTGGGTTGATGGCAGGGAGGTGGGTGGATGAGGGTGAGCTGGGTTGATGGCAGGGAGGTGGGTGGATGAGTGCGAGCTGGGTTGATGGCAGGGAGGTGGGTGGATGAGTGCGAGCTGGGTTGATGGCAGGGAGGTGGGTGGATGAGTGAGAGCTGGGTTGATGGCAGGGAGGTGGGTGGATGAGTGCGAGCTGGGTTGATGGCAGGGAGGTGGGTGGATGAGTGCGAGCTGGGTTGATGGCAGGGAGGTGGGTGGATGAGTGCGAGCTGGGTTGATGGCAGGGAGGTGGGTGGATGAGGGTGAGCTGGGTTGATGGCAGGGAGGTGGGTGGATGAGCGTGAGCTGGGTTGATGGCAGGGAGGTGGGTGGATGAGCGTGAGCTGGGTTGATGGCAGGGAGGTGGGTGGATGAGGGTGAGCTGGGTTGATGGCAGGGAGGTGGGTGGATGAGTGTGAGCTGGGTTGATGGCAGGTGGATGAGCGTGAGCTGGGTTGATGGCAGGGAGGTGGGTGGATGAGCGTGAGCTGGGTTGATGGCAGGGAGGTGGGTGGATGAGGGTGAGCTGGGTTGATGGCAGGGAGGTGGGTGGATGAGTGTGAGCTGGGTTGATGGCAGGGAGGTGGGTGGATGAGGGTGAGCTGGGTTGATGGCAGGGAGGTGGGTGGATGAGTGTGAGCTGGGTTGATGGCAGGGAGGTGGGTGGATGAGCGTGAGCTGAGTTGATGGCAGGGAGGTGGGTGGATGAGCGCGAGCTGGGTTGATGGCAGGGAGGTGGGTGGATGAGGGTGAGCTGGGTTGATGGCAGGGAGGTGGGTGGATGAGCGTGAGCTGGGTTGATGGCAGGGAGGTGGGTGGATGAGCGTGAGCTGGGTTGATGGCAGGGAGGTGGGTGGATGAGCGTGAGCTGGGTTGATGGCAGGGAGGTGGGTGGATGAGCGTGAGCTGGGATGGCAGGGAGGTGGGTGGATGAGCGTGAGCTGGGTTGATGGCAGGGAGGTGGGTGGATGAGGGTGAGCTGGGTTGATGGCAGGGAGGTGGGTGGATGAGCGTGAGCTGGGTTGATGGCAGGGAGGTGGGTGGATGAGTGCGAGCTGGGTTGATGGCAGGGAGGTGGGTGGATGAGTGTGAGCTGGGTTGATGGCAGGGAGGTGGGTGGATGAGTGCGAGCTGGGTTGATGGCAGGGAGGTGGGTGGATGAGTGCGAGCTGGGTTGATGGCAGGGAGGTGGGTGGATGAGTGTGAGCTGGGTTGATGGCAGGGAGGTGGGTGGATGAGCGTGAGCTGGGTTGATGGCAGGGAGGTGGGTGGATGAGTGTGAGCTGGGTTGATGGCAGGGAGGTGGGTGGATGAGCGTGAGCTGAGTTGATGGCAGGGAGGTGGGTGGATGAGCGCGAGCTGGGTTGATGGCAGGGAGGTGGGTGGATGAGGGTGAGCTGGGTTGATGGCAGGGAGGTGGGTGGATGAGCGTGAGCTGGGTTGATGGCAGGGAGGTGGGTGGATGAGCGTGAGCTGGGTTGATGGCAGGGAGGTGGGTGGATGAGTGCGAGCTGGGTTGATGGCAGGGAGGTGGGTGGATGAGTGTGAGCTGGGTTGATGGCAGGGAGGTGGGTGGATGAGTGCGAGCTGGGTTGATGGCAGGGAGGTGGGTGGATGAGTGTGAGCTGGGTTGATGGCAGGGAGGTGGGTGGATGAGTGCGAGCTGGGTTGATGGCAGGGAGGTGGGTGGATGAGTGCGAGCTGGGTTGATGGCAGGGAGGTGGGTGGATGAGTGTGAGCTGGGTTGATGGCAGGGAGGTGGGTGGATGAGCGTGAGCTGGGTTGATGGCAGGGAGGTGGGTGGATGAGTGTGAGCTGGGTTGATGGCAGGGAGGTGGGTGGATGAGCGCGAGCTGGGTTGATGGCAGGGAGGTGGGTGGATGAGGGTGAGATGGGTTGATGGCAGGGAGGTGGGTGGATGAGTGTGAGCTGGGTTGATGGCAGGGAGGTGGGTGGATGAGTGCGAGCTGGGTTGATGGCAGGGAGGTGGGTGGATGAGTGCGAGCTGGGTTGATGGCAGGGAAGTGGGTGGATGAGTGTGAGCTGGGTTGATGGCAGGTGGATGAGCGTGAGCTGGGTTGATGGCAGGGAGGTGGGTGGATGAGCGTGAGCTGGGTTGATGGCAGGGAGGTGGGTGGATGAGGGTGAGCTGGGTTGATGGCAGGGAGGTGGGTGGATGAGTGCGAGCTGGGTTGATGGCAGGGAGGTGGGTGGATGAGTGCGAGCTGGGTTGATGGCAGGGAGGTGGGTGGATGAGTGAGAGCTGGGTTGATGGCAGGGAGGTGGGTGGATGAGTGCGAGCTGGGTTGATGGCAGGGAGGTGGGTGGATGAGTGCGAGCTGGGTTGATGGCAGGGAGGTGGGTGGATGAGTGCGAGCTGGGTTGATGGCAGGGAGGTGGGTGGATGAGTGTGAGCTGGGTTGATGGCAGGGAGGTGGGTGGATGAGCGTGAGCTGGGTTGATGGCAGGGAGGTGGGTGGATGAGCGTGAGCTGGGTTGATGGCAGGGAGGTGGGTGGATGAGGGTGAGCTGGGTTGATGGCAGGGAGGTGGGTGGATGAGTGTGAGCTGGGTTGATGGCAGGTGGATGAGCGTGAGCTGGGTTGATGGCAGGGAGGTGGGTGGATGAGCGTGAGCTGGGTTGATGGCAGGGAGGTGGGTGGATGAGGGTGAGCTGGGTTGATGGCAGGGAGGTGGGTGGATGAGTGCGAGCTGGGTTGATGGCAGGGAGGTGGGTGGATGAGTGCGAGCTGGGTTGATGGCAGGGAGGTGGGTGGATAAGTGAGAGCTGGGTTGATGGCAGGGAGGTGGGTGGATGAGTGCGAGCTGGGTTGATGGCAGGGAGGTGGGTGGATGAGTGCGAGCTGGGTTGATGGCAGGGAGGTGGGTGGATGAGTGCGAGCTGGGTTGATGGCAGGGAGGTGGGTGGATGAGTGTGAGCTGGGTTGATGGCAGGGAGGTGGGTGGATGAGCGTGAGCTGGGTTGATGGCAGGGAGGTGGGTGGATGAGCGTGAGCTGGGTTGATGGCAGGGAGGTGGGTGGATGAGGGTGAGCTGGGTTGATGGCAGGGAGGTGGGTGGATGAGTGTGAGCTGGGTTGATGGCAGGTGGATGAGCGTGAGCTGGGTTGATGGCAGGGAGGTGGGTGGATGAGGGTGAGCTGGGTTGATGGCAGGGAGGTGGGTGGATGAGTGTGAGCTGGGTTGATGGCAGGGAGGTGGGTGGATGAGCGTGAGCTGAGTTGATGGCAGGGAGGTGGGTGGATGAGCGCGAGCTGGGTTGATGGCAGGGAGGTGGGTGGATGAGGGTGAGCTGGGTTGATGGCAGGGAGGTGGGTGGATGAGCGTGAGCTGGGTTGATGGCAGGGAGGTGGGTGGATGAGCGTGAGCTGGGTTGATGGCAGGGAGGTGGGTGGATGAGCGTGAGCTGGGTTGATGGCAGGGAGGTGGGTGGATGAGCGTGAGCTGGGATGGCAGGGAGGTGGGTGGATGAGCGTGAGCTGGGTTGATGGCAGGGAGGTGGGTGGATGAGGGTGAGCTGGGTTGATGGCAGGGAGGTGGGTGGATGAGCGTGAGCTGGGTTGATGGCAGGGAGGTGGGTGGATGAGGGTGAGCTGGGTTGATGGCAGGGAGGTGGGTGGATGAGTGCGAGCTGGGTTGATGGCAGGGAGGTGGGTGGATGAGTGCGAGCTGGGTTGATGGCAGGGAGGTGGGTGGATGAGTGCGAGCTGGGTTGATGGCAGGGAGGTGGGTGGATGAGTGCGAGCTGGGTTGATGGCAGGGAGGTGGGTGGATGAGTGCGAGCTGGGTTGATGGCAGGGAGGTGGGTGGATGAGTGCGAGCTGGGTTGATGGCAGGGAGGTGGGTGGATGAGTGTGAGCTGGGTTGATGGCAGGGAGGTGGGTGGATGAGCGTGAGCTGGGTTGATGGCAGGGAGGTGGGTGGATGAGCGTGAGCTGGGTTGATGCCAGGGAGGTGCGTGGATGAGGGTGAGCTGGGTTGATGGCAGGGAGGTGGGTGGATGAGTGTGAGCTGGGTTGATGGCAGGTGGATGAGCGTGAGCTGGGTTGATGGCAGGGAGGTGGGTGGATGAGCGTGAGCTGGGTTGATGGCAGGGAGGTGGGTGGATGAGGGTGAGCTGGGTTGATGGCAGGGAGGTGGGTGGATGAGTGTGAGCTGGGTTGATGGCAGGGAGGTGGGTGGATGAGCGTGAGCTGGGTTGATGGCAGGGAGGTGGGTGGATGAGCGTGAGCTGGGTTGATGGCAGGGAGGTGGGTGGATGAGCGTGAGCTGGGTTGATGGCAGGGAGGTGGGTGGATGAGCGTGAGCTGGGTTGATGGCAGGGAGGTGGGTGGATGAGCGTGAGCTGGGTTGATGGCAGGGAGGTGGGTGGATGAGGGTGAGCTGGGTTGATGGCAGGGAGGTGGGTGGATGAGCGTGAGCTGGGTTGATGGCAGGGAGGTGGGTGGATGAGTGTGAGCTGGGATGATGGCAGGGAGGTGGGTGGATGAGCGTGAGCTGGGTTGATGGCAGGGAGGTGGGTGGATGAGCGCGAGCTGGGTTGATGGCAGGGAGGTGGGTGGATGAGTGCGAGCTGGGTTGATGGCAGGGAGGTGGGTGGATGAGTGCGAGCTGGGTTGATGGCAGGGAGGTGGGTGGATGAGTGCGAGCTGGGTTGATGGCAGGGAGGTGGGTGGATGAGCGTGAGCTGGGTTGATGGCAGGGAGGTGGGTGGATGAGCGTGAGCTGGGTTGATGGCAGGGAGGTGGGTGGATGAGGGTGAGCTGGGTTGATGGCAGGGAGGTGGGTGGATGAGTGCGAGCTGGGTTGATGGCAGGGAGGTGGGTGGATGAGCGTGAGCTGGGTTGATGGCAGGGAGGTGGATGGATGAGCGCGAGCTGGGTTGATGGCAGGGAGGTGGGTGGATGAGTGCGAGCTGGGTTGATGGCAGGGAGGTGGTTGGATGAGTGCGAGCTGGGTTGATGGCAGGGAGGTGGGTGGATGAGTGCGAGCTGGGTTGATGGCAGGGAGGTGGGTGGATGAGCGTGAGCTGGGTTGATGGCAGGGAGGTGGGTGGATGAGCGTGAGCTGGGTTGATGGCAGGGAGGTGGGTGGATGAGGGTGAGCTGGGTTGATGGCAGGGAGGTGGGTGGATGAGCGCGAGCTGGGTTGATGGCAGGGAGGTGGGTGGATGAGCGTGAGCTGGGTTGATGGCAGGGAGGTGGGTGGATGAGCGTGAGCTGAGTTGATGGCACGGAGGTGGGTGGATGAGCGCGAGCTGGGTTGATGGCAGGGAGGTGGGTGGATGAGGGTGAGCTGGGTTGATGGCAGGGACGTGGGTGGATGAGCGTGAGCTGGGTTGATGGCAGGGAGGTGGGTGGATGAGCGTGAGCTGGGTTGATGGCAGGGAGGTGGGTGGATGAGCGTGAGCTGGGTTGATGGCAGGGAGGTGGGTGGATGAGCGTGAGCTGGGATGGCAGGGAGGTGGGTGGATGAGCGTGAGCTGGGTTGATGGCAGGGAGGTGGGTGGATGAGGGTGAGCTGGGTTGATGGCAGGGAGGTGGGTGGATGAGCGTGAGCTGGGCTGATGGCAGGGAGGTGGATGGATGAGCGTGAGCTGGGTTGATGGCAGGGAGGTGGATGGATGAGCGTGAGCTGGGTTGATGGCAGGGAGGTGGTTGGATGAGTGCGAGCTGGGTTGATGGCAGGGAGGTGGGTGGATGAGTGCGAGCTGGGTTGATGGCAGGGAGGTGGGTGGATGAGCGTGAGCTGGGTTGATGGCAGGGAGGTGGGTGGATGAGCGTGAGCTGGGTTGATGGCAGGGAGGTGGGTGGATGAGCGTGAGCTGGGTTGATGGCAGGGAGGTGGGTGGATGAGCGTGAGCTGAGTTGATGGCAGGGAGGTGGGTGGATGAGCGCGAGCTGGGTTGATGGCAGGGAGGTGGGTGGATGAGCGCGAGCTGGGTTGATGGCAGGGAGGTGGGTGGATGAGCGTGAGCTGGGTTGATGGCAGGGAGGTGGGTGGATGAGCGTGAGCTGGGTTGATGGCAGGGAGGTGGGTGGATGAGCGTGAGCTGGGTTGATGGCAGGGAGGTGGGTGGATGAGCGTGAGCTGGGTTGATGGCAGGGAGGTGGGTGGATGAGCGTGAGCTGGGTTGATGGCAGGGAGGTGGGTGGATGAGGGTGAGCTGGGTTGATGGCAGGGAGGTGGGTGGATGAGCGTGAGCTGGGTTGATGGCAGGGAGGTGGGTGGATGAGCGTGAGCTGGGTTGATGGCAGGGAGGTGGGTGGATGAGTGTGAGCTGGGTTGATGGCAGGGAGGTGGGTGGATGAGCGTGAGCTGGGTTGATGGCAGGGAGGTGGGTGGATGAGTGCGAGCTGGGTTGATGGCAGGGAGGTGGGTGGATGAGTGCGAGCTGGGTTGATGGCAGGGAGGTGGGTGGATGAGTGCGAGCTGGGTTGATGGCAGGGAGGTGGGTGGATGAGCGTGAGCTGGGTTGATGGCAGGGAGGTGGGTGGATGAGTGTGAGCTGGGTTGATGGCAGGGAGGTGGGTGGATGAGCGTGAGCTGGGTTGATGGCAGGGAGGTGGGTGGATGAGGGTGAGCTGGGTTGATGGCAGGGAGGTGGGTGGATGAGTGCGAGCTGGGTTGATGGCAGGGAGGTGGGTGGATGAGCGTGAGCTGGGTTGATGGCAGGGAGGTGGATGGATGAGCGCGAGCTGGGTTGATGGCAGGGAGGTGGGTGGATGAGTGCGAGCTGGGTTGATGGCAGGGAGGTGGTTGGATGAGTGCGAGCTGGGTTGATGGCAGGGAGGTGGGTGGATGAGTGCGAGCTGGGTTGATGGCAGGGAGGTGGGTGGATGAGCGGGAGCTGGGTTGATGGCAGGGAGGTGGGTGGATGAGCGTGAGCTGGGTTGATGGCAGGGAGGTGGGTGGATGAGGGTGAGCTGGGTTGATGGCAGGGAGGTGGGTGGATGAGCGCGAGCTGGGTTGATGGCAGGGAGGTGGGTGGATGAGCGTGAGCTGGGTTGATGGCAGGGAGGTGGGTGGATGAGCGTGAGCTGGGTTGATGGCAGGGAGGTGGGTGGATGAGCGTGAGCTGGGTTGATGGCAGGGAGATGGGTGGATGAGCGTGAGCTGGGATGGCAGGGAGGTGGGTGGATGAGCGTGAGCTGGATTGATGGCAGGGAGGTGGGTGGATGAGTGTGAGCTGGGTTGATGGCAGGGAGGTGGGTGGATGAGTGTGAGCTGGGTTGATGGCAGGGATGTGGGTGGATGAGCGTGAGCTGGGTTGATGGCAGGGAGGTGGGTGGATGAGCGTGAGCTGGGTTGATGGCAGGGAGGTGGGTGGATGAGCGTGAGCTGGGTTGATGGCAGGGAGGTGGGTGGATGAGTGCGAGCTGGGTTGATGGCAGGGAGGTGGGTGGATGAGTGCGAGCTGGGTTGATGGCAGGGAGGTGGGTGGATGAGTGCGAGCTGGGTTGATGGCAGGGAGGTGGGTGGATGAGCGCGAGCTGGGTTGATGGCAGGGAGGTGGGTGGATGAGTGCGAGCTAAGTTGGTGGCAGGGAGGTGGGTGGATGAGCGCGAGCTGGGTTGATGGCAGGGAGGTGGGTGGATGAGCGTGAGCTGGGTTGATGGCAGGGAGGTGGGTGGATGAGCGTGAGCTGGGTTGATGGCAGGCAGGTGGGTGGATGAGCATGAGCTGGGTTGATGGCAGGGAGGTGGGTGGATGAGCGTGAGCTGGGTTGATGGCAGGGAGGTGGGTGGATGAGCGTGAGCTGGGTTGATGGCAGGGAGGTGGGTGGATGAGTGTGAGCTGGGTTGATGGCAGGGAGGTGGGTGGATGAGCGTGAGCTGGGTTGATGGCAGGGAGGTGGGTGGATGAGCGTGAGCTGGGTTGATGGCAGGGAGGTGGGTGGATGAGCGTGAGCTGGGTTGATGGCAGGGAGGTGGGTGGATGAGCGTGAGCTCGGTTGATGGCAGGGAGGTGGGTGGATGAGCGTGAGCTCGGTTGATGGCAGGGAGGTGGGTGGATGAGCGTGAGCTCGGTTGATGGCAGGGAGGTGGGTGGATGAGCGTTAGCTCGGTTGATGGCAGGGAGGTGGGTGGATGAGCGTGAGCTCGGTTGATGGCAGGGAGGTGGATGGATGAGTGTGAGCTGGGTTGATGGCAGGGAGGTGGGTGGATGAGCGTGAGCAGTGTGTCAGTATGAGAGAGGTGTTTGGACTAGCAAGATTGGGAGTACAAGTAGGAAACCCTAGAATATTGTACCCCCTAAGGCTAAACCCACTGTAGCCTACAGAACAGCAACATATATAATGTTTGACACACCCCCATAGGCTAAGAGGGGGAGAGCAAGGGGTCACAAGACCAGTCCAGAAAGACAAGGCAAGCTCAGGGTGGATCACAACGTCACCACACTCTCTGAGCACAAGCAAAGAGCCACAAGGCCAGTTCACATGCAGAGGCATATAAGCAACACAAACAACACAGTGATATCTGCCTAGCAAAGCAAGCATGCAGGTATATATATGTATAGATCACAGTACAGGCAAAGCCTACAACAAGTGAGGAAAGGTGGGCACAAGCCCTAGCATAGTGCAGAAACGCTGATGATCACCAGACTGAAGTGCCTTGGTGAATATATCAGCAGTGTTGGCCTGAGTGGCCACGTAGCGCAGACGAAGCTGACCACGCTGCTGCAACTCTCGAGCCAGGAAGTAACGCAGAGCGATGTGCTTCGTTCTGTCCTCCAGTCTGTGCTCCTCACACAAGGCAATGGCAGCCTTGTTGTCGACATACAGCACTGGAGGAGAACGAGGCTGCTCTCCCAGGTCAGTCAGCAGGTAGGTGAGCCAGCGCAACTCCTGTGCAGCCATGGCTGTGGCGTAGATCTCAGCCTCACAACTGGAGCTGAGAACTGAAGACGAGCGAGTAGAACGCCAAGGCTGAAGGTGTAACCCTGTGACGACCGCTGAGTAGCCTGGTCGTCAACCCAAGAAGCGTCTGAGTGCCCTGTGAGAACAACTGAGCTCCTCCCTCCAAGCACTAGCCCCATGCCTGATGTACTGCACAAGTAGCGCAGTACCCTCTTAGCAGCAGCCATGTGCTCAGGTCGGTGCCGACCAGGAGCCACGTAGCGAGCCAGAAGACCAAGAGGGTACGCGAGGTCAGGACAAGTGCAAGTCATCAGGTACATGAGGCAACCAACTAGCTCTGGGTAAGGACCACTCGGCTCTACAGACTCGTCCGAAGGTGGAGCTGAGAGCGAGTGACCTATAGCCAGAGGAGTGGCCTGTGCCGAGGACCAGGTGAAGCCGAAGCGCCGAAGGACCTGCTGCACCATGTGTGACTGAGTCAGGGTGATGGTGTGGCGTGCTCTGTCCCGGGTGATCTGCAAGCCAAGGTAGCTGCGGAGTTCACCCAGGTCTGTGCACGTGTGTCTCTTCTGCAGCTCCGACTTCACGTGGGCGAGAGCCTCAGTGTCAGCAGTGGCAAAGACCAAGTCGTCGACGTACACGAGGATGTAGAACGGCGGCAGTGAAGTGTCGGTGCGCAGAAACAGCGACGGGTCAGCAGTAGAAGGCGCGAAGCCAAGAGCCGCAAGTGTAGTCCTCAGTGTGTCGTGCCACTCACGTGGCGCCTGGCGGAGACCGTAGACCGGCCGCCGAAGGCTCCACTGGGTACCAGGAGGAAACGACCCAATAAAGCCAGGAGGGCGGCGCAGCCAGATCTCCTCGTGCAGGCTGCCCTGCAAGAAAGCTGTGCTGAAGTCAAGAGAGTGAAGCTCGTAGTCACGCTGAGCGGCATCGTGCAGCAGCACTCGAAGAGTGGTCATCTTCGGGGTAGGGGAGAAGGTCTGGAAGAAGTCTACTCCCTCTCGCTGTCTGAAGCCTCGAGCAACGTAACGAGCCTTGAAGACAGGCGGAGAACCAGGCGGCCGCTTCACCCTGAAAATCCACATGCCACTGACGATGTTCGCCCAGGAGGGGGAACCTCGTCGACGTAAGTGCCAGTGGACTTCCAGGATGCCATCTCTGCGTCCATGGCTGTCTGCCACTGAGAGGAGTACTCACCCGCGATCGCCTCAGCGTAAGAGCGCGGGGTCGGGATGTCTGGAGCATCCGGGTCTCCCTCAGGTGCAAGCAGCATGGCCACAAGATGAGGTACAGCAGCGGCAAAGCACTCAAACTCCTCCTGCCTGTCCTCAAGGACGTCCGTGCCAAGAGCACACTCACCCCCGATGGACGAAGGACAGACAGATTCAGACTCAGACTCAGCAACAAGACTCGCAGCGTAGTCTAGACGACAGTGAGCAGCAAAGTCGACAAGCTCAGCAACTAAGGCAGACGCAGCAGCTGACTCAAAGGAAGGGTCAGTTACAGCAGCGGCCAGGAGACGCGTGACAGTAGGACTAGCAGCACGAAGAGAGTCAGACTCCGGGTCAGCAAGGGCAGGAAGAGAGGCCGCAGGAGGAGAAGGCAGCGGGACACGCTGTGGAGCAGTGGAAGGACGAAGTGCCATCTGGTGAGTGCCTGGGACAGCAGGAGGACGCTGACGCGGGACACGACGACCAGTGCGAGCAGCAGGAACAGGTGACACAGACCGAGACTCAGGCGACACAGGACGAGACTCAGGCTCACGACGCTCAGTAAGACCGCCTGTCGGACCTGTGTAGGGAGAAGGACCAGGGAGTGGCGAGGCAGGCGGTAACTGTGACTGCGACTGGACAGGCGGAGGACACTCTAAGGAGGGAGCAGGACAAGGAGGAGGCCGCTGACCAAGAACCTGCTGAAGGAGGGGAACAAAGTACGGCTGTGGCCGTGAAGTGCCCCCAGAACCAGCAGAGACTGCACCAGAACCTCCAGCAGCAGCGCCAACTCCCTCAGCACCACCAGCAGCTCCAGTACCTCCAGCAGGACCAGCAGTACCTCCAGCAGCTCCAGTACCTCCAGCAGCACCAGCAGCACCTCCAGCAGGACCAGCACCAGCAGCACCGCCAGCAGCCCCAGTACCTCCAGCAGCACCAGTACCTCCAGCAGCACCAGCAGCACCTCCAGCAGGACCAACACCAGCTGCACCTCCAGCAGCTCCAGTACCTCCAGCAGCAGCAGGGCCTCCAGCGGGCGGCACCCGAACACGAGAAGCTCCACTCCGGAGGCTGCAGCGCCGAGCGTACCACTCACGTAGCCGCTGAGGGGAGGGAGGCTCCGGTCTCGCAGGACCACCAGCTCCAGGAGCCCCACGCTGGAGGCCGCAACTCTGGGAGTACCACTCATGCAGCTGCTGTGAAGAGGGAGCGCCACTAGGCGCAGCACGGTCAGTCTCAGAACCCCCAGCCTCAGGGGCAGCACCCCCAGGCTCAACACCCCCAGTCGCAGTACCCCCAGGCTCAGCACCCCCAGTCGCAGCACCCCCAGTCGCAGCACCCCCAGGCTCAGCACCCCCAGGCTCAGCACCCCCAGTCTCAACACCCCCAGTCGGAACACCCCCAGGCTCAGCACCCCCTGGCTCAGCACCCCCAGGCTCAGTACCCCTCGCAGGACCAGAGTCGACAGCTACCTCGACAGGCTCGACCGGGTCTACCTGGAAAACACCTGAGGGAGCAGCACCCTGGGGAGGGAGGGGGTCTACCGACGGGACACCTGGGGTGAGGAAGAGCGGCGGGGGGGGGAGCGGGGCAGTACGGTAGGGGAAGAGACGGTAAAAGGGTACCGACTCGTCAAAGGTGACGTCCTGAGAGGGGAAGACACGGCGCGAGGTGGGGTGGTAAAACTGCCCGCCAGGCGCGTCAGGGACAAAGCCAAGGAAGACACAGGGAACGGCACGGGAGGAGAGCTTGTCCGCGGACGTATCGCGGACAAAGGCTCGACACCCCCAGACTCGGAACACCGACGCATCGCCAACCTCCCCCATCCAACGCATTGTGGGCGAGGTCTCCGGAGCAGAGACACGGGGCCAGAGGTTGAGCTGATGTGCGGCGTACTGCACTGCAAACGGCCACAGGAAATGGGGGGCAGCCGCATGGATCATGGAAGTACGAGCGACCTCCATGACGAGACCAATGCGGGGCTCAGCAACCCCATTCTGCTGCGGAGAGGCCGGAAGAGTGAACGTCTGACGGATGCCGTGCTGCGCACAGTAGGCTGCCAAGAGGTCGGAGGAAAACTCACCACCTCTATCAGAGTGCAGACACAGGACGGGAAAGTCCGACTGGAACCGCTTGCGGAGCTGGAGACGAGCAGCGCGGATCCAAGGGATCAAAACATCAGGGACCTCACCCTTGGTACGCAAGGGGAAGACCGTGGTGTAGAGCGTGTAGTCGTCGACGACCAGCAGGAAGTACCGCTCGTGGCCCTGTCCCCGGACGCGGGCTGGGCCCCACACGTCCAGGTGGAGAGTCTGCAGGGGAGCCTCTGTGGGAGGGAACGAGGAGGAGTGAGGAGCGGCGCTGTGCCGCCCCTCGACACAGGGAAGACAGGGAGGAGCAGGCGAGGGTGGGAGGGGAGGGAGAACCCTGGGAAGACCAAAGACAAGGTACCGGGAGTGCATGCCGCGAAGGCGCTGCACTGACGGGTGACAAAGGCGGTGGTGCCAGAGGACAGTCTGGTGTGACAGGGAGCGACACGAGCAGGGGGGCGACAGCTGACCTGACGCAGACGCAGACGCAGCTACCTGAGGGGACTCAGTGGTCAGTGTGTACAAGTCCGACCCCGGCTGCCGAGTGAAGGTAACCAGGTGACGACCCGTCTGGGCACACGTGCAGTGCGTCACACGCTCGTAGGCCAGGGTGAACTAGTGAACACCTGCGTCCTGGAGCGCGGAACCAGCCACCAAGTTCGTAGAGAACGAGGGGAGGTAAAGGCCTGACAGTGTGCCAGACGGGACAGCAGGACAAGGGAGGGCAGTGGTGGAGGTCGCAAGGACCGGACCCCCGGAGGGGTCAGCCAGGGAGACAGCAACCGGTCTAGGAAGCTGCTCTAGGGCTGTGCGGTCGCGAAAGAAACAGCGGGAAGCACCTGAGTCCAGTGTGAAGGTGTGCAGTGCCTCAGTAGACGCGGTACCAGCAGACGCAGACGCACTAGCACCTAGAGCAGCAGCCTCACCAGGACCTAGGGTAGAAGACGCACGAGCACCTAGAGCTGCAGCCTCACTGGTCCCAATACCCGGGTCGGGCGGTACACGCAGGTAACAGTCACCCTCAACACTAATAGTCAATGCATACATAGCAGCAAGGATAGCATCATAATCAAGAGCAAAGATATCAATCCCCTTCTTAAGCAGATCAGCCCAGCGGGGCAGCTCAGAGGCGTCAGGAAACTGCTCGCGCCAGGCGTCGTCGAGGCGAAAGAAACAGCGCTGCGCCGTGTGAAACCTCCCAGAAGTCTGGCCAGTGCGGTCACCTGTGCGGATGACGTACGGGCAGGTACCTCCACCCCCAGACCCCCCACGCTGAGAGTACCACTCACGGAGCTGCTGGGGCGACTGGGTCTCGTTGGGACGCTGCTGCTGCTGCCTCTGGCCGCCGCCGAACCCGCCACGCTACACCGCTCCACCGCGCCCGCCACCAGCTCCACTGCCGCCACCACTGCCTCCACCACCCCCGCCACCTCCACCACCGCCGCCGCCACCACCCCCGGCTCTGCCACTGCCCCCCCCACCACCAGTACCACTCCCACCACCGCCGCCACCGCCGCCGCCCCCTCCACCCCCTCCACCACCACCTCCCCCGCCGCCACCTCCGCCACCCCGGCCCCCCTTGCCCCTGCCGCTTTTGCGCCTCCCACTGGGAGCAAACGCAGCTCCGACCCCCTCAGCACCGAGGAAGTCGACAGCAGCAGCAGATGCAATGGAGGGGAGAAGGGGGGAGGGGGAACATCCCTCAAAGAAGGGAGTGCGAGGGTCGCCACGAGAGGCACCTACAGCTACAATGCTCTTCTCAGTTGCAAGGAGTTCCTTCTCGAGCAGGTCGACAGTGAGGTCTGTAGGAGAGAGAGCGAGAAAGTGGTCCCTGACAGTTTGAAGAGAGTCAGGGAGGCGAGTGACTAGGTGGTAGAGGGTGAGGTACATCGGGGGAGGGTTCTTGGCTAGGAAATCGGGGGGGAGCGCGGCACGGTAGCGGAGGTCACTAGTACGGAGGTGAGTGATGAGGTCAGCTACAGTGACAAAGGCAGACAGATCGGGGAAGAAATAGGGCAGTGAGAGACGGCCTATCGCAACAGTAGCAGGGAGGAGTAGCGTGCAACGACAGCATCGTACAGTTCCTTAGCGGTCTTATGCTGGCCGAAATGCTCGCGCTCATCTAACGGCAGGTGGCTGCGAACGGCTAGGCGAGCATGAGCGTCACGAGTCTGCCACTGTGAGCGAGCAGTACTGTCAGCGGTAGCAGCAGGTGCGGGAGCAGCGCCGGACGTGTGGTCATACAGGGAAACATCGTCCTTGGCAGTAATCTGGAGGAACAGGTGAAGGTCATCGAGCCAAACGTCAAACTTAATCGGACGGCCCTCAGCGTCAAAAGTGAGAACGGTAGGACTGGCCATAGTGGCAGTAGCAGCAGTAGGAACAGTAGCAGCAGTAGCAGTAGCAGTAGTAGCAGTAGCAGTAGCAGTAATAGCAGTAGGAACAGGAGCAGCAGTTGCTGCAGGTGGGGTGGCGCGGCTCCGTCAGGGCGGCGCGACTTGGGCGGCGCGACTCAAGCGGCGCGGCTCGGGCAGGTAGGGCGGCGCGACGGCGGGCCTATGCACGGTGCGCGGCGGCGCCTAGGGTGCGGCTGCGCGCGGGCCGCGGCTGCGTTCGTGCTGGCGGCGGCGATCGTGCGGTCGGCGGGCTAGCACGAGCGGCGGCCTAAGGGGACGCGGCGGCGGCGCACGGCGGTCGATGAGCGGCTAGCGGGCCGCGCTAAGAGCCGCGCGAGGCCAGAGGAGGCAGCGCGTGGGCGGCGACGACGGCGCGAGCAGCTAGCGGGCCGCGCGCTCAAGAAACGGGCCGCGCGCGGGCGGCTAGTGGGCTACGCGACCTAAAAACGGGCCGCGTGCGCAGGCTTCTAGCGGCTGCGCACGGCAGTTCAGGAGAAAGGAGGGCGCGCGAGGGCGCACTAGGAGCGAGGCGCACGAGGGCGCTAGGAAGGGACGGCGCACGAGGGCGCTTCGAGCGGAAACGGTGGGCCCTTAGGAACAGTCCTAGGTTCCTAACCTAGGCTCGTAATACCATGTCAGTATGAGAGAGGTGTTTGGACTAGCAAGATTGGGAGTACAAGTAGGAAACCCTAGAATATTGCACCCCCTAAGGCTAAACCCACTGTAGCCTACAGAAAAGCAACATATATAATGTTTGACACTGGGTTGATGGCAGGGAGGTGGGTGGATGAGCGTGAGCTGGGTTGATGGCAGGGAGGTGGGTGGATGAGTGTGAGCTGGGTTGATGGCAGGGACGTGGGTGGATGAGTGTGAGTTGGGTTGATGGCAGGGAGGTGGGTGGATGAGTGCGAGCTGGGTAGATGGCAGGGAGGTGGGTGGATGAGTGCGAGCTGGGTTGATGGCAGGCAGGTGGGTGGATGAGCGTGAGCTGGGTTGATGGCAGGAAGGTGGGTGGATGAGTGTGAGCTGGGTTGATGGCAGGGAGGTGGGTGGATGTGTGTGAGCTGGGTTGATGGCAGGGAGGTGGGTGGATGAGTGCGAGCTGGATTGATGGCAGGGAGGTGGGTGGATGAGTGTGAGCTGGGTTGATGGCAGGGAGGTGGGTAGATGAGTGTGAGCTGGGTTGATGGCAGGGAGGTGGGTAGATGAGTGCGAGCTGGGTTGATGGCAGGGAGGTGGGTGGATGAGTGCGAGCTGGATTGATGGCAGGGAGGTGGGTGGATGAGCGTGAGCTGGGTTGATGGCAGGGAGGTGGGTGGATGAGCGTGAGCTGGGTTGATGGCAGGGAGGTGGGTGGATGAGCGTGAGCTGGGTTGATGGCAGGAAGGTGGGTGGATGAGTGTGAGCTGGGTTGATGGCAGGGAGGTGGGTGGATGTGTGTGAGCTGGGTTGTTGGCAGGGAGGTGGGTGGATGAGCGTGAGCTGGGTTGATGGCAGGGAGGTGGGTGGATGAGTGTGAGCTGGGTTGATGGCAGGGAGGTGGGTGGATGAGCGTGAGCTGGGTTGATGGCAGGGAGGTGGGTGGATGAGTGTGAGCTGGGTTGATGGCAGGGAGGTGGGTGGATGAGTGTGAGCTGGATTGATGGCAGGGAGGTGGGTGGATGAGTGCGAGCAGGGTTGATGGCAGGGAGGTGGGTGGATGAGTGTGAGCTGGGTTGATGGCAGGGAGGTGGGTGGATGAGCGCGAGCTGGGTTGATGGCAGGGAGGTGGGTGGATGAGCGTGAGCTGGGTTGATGGCAGGGAGGTGGGTGGATGAGCGCGAGCTGGGTTGATGGCAGGGAGGTGGGTGGATGAGCGTGAGCTGGGTTGATGGCAGGGAGGTGGGTGGATGAGTGCGAGCTGGGTTGATGGCAGGGAGGTGGGTGGATGAGTGGGAGCTGGGTTGATGGCAGGGAGGTGGGTGGATGAGTGCGAGCTGGGTTGATGGCAGGGAGGTGGGTGGATGAGTGCGAGCTGGGTTGATGGCAGGGAGGTGGGTGGATGAGTGCGAGCTGGGTTGATGGCAGGGATGTGGGTGGATGAGCGTGAGCTGGAGCTGGGTTGATGGCAGGGAGGTGGGTGGATGAGTGCGAGCTGTGTTGATGGCAGGGAGGTGGGTGGATGAGTGCGAGCTGGGTTGATGGCAGGGAGGTGGGTGGATGAGTGCGAGCTGGGTTGATGGCAGGGAGGTGGGTGGATGAGTGCGAGCTGGGTTGATGGCAGGGAGGTGGGTGGATGAGTGCGAGCTGGGTTGATGGCAGGGAGGTGGGTGGATGAGTGCGAGCTGGGTTGATGGCAGGGAGGTGGTTGGATGAGCGCGAGCTAAGTTGATGGCAGGGAGGTGGGTGGATGAGCGCGAGGTAAGTTGATGGCAGGGAGGTGGGTGGATGAGCGCGAGCTAAGTTGATGGCAGGGAGGTGGGTGGATGAGGGCGAGCTAGGTTGATGGCAGGGAGGTGGGTGGATGAGGGCGAGCTAAGTTGATGGCAGGGAGGTGGGTGGATGAGTGCGAGCTAGGTTGATGGCAGGGAGGTGGGTGGATGAGCGCGAGCTGGGTTGATGGCAGGGAGGTGGGTGGATGAGCGCGAGCTGGGTTGATGGCAGGGAGGTGGGTGGATGAGCGCGAGCTGGGTTGATGGCAGGGAGGTGGGTGGATGAGCGCGAGCTGGGTTGATGGCAGGGAGGTGGGTGGATGAGCGCGAGCTGGGTTGATGGCAGGGAGGTGGGTGGATGAGCGCGAGCTGGGTTGATGGCAGGGAGGTGGGTGGATGAGCGTGAGCTGGGTTGATGGCAGGGAGGTGGGTGGATGAGCGCGAGCTGGGTTGATGGCAGGGAGGTGGGTGGATGAGGGTGAGCTGGGTTGATGGCAGGGAGGTGGGTGGATGAGTGTGAGCTGGGTTGATGGCAGGGAGGTGGGTGGATGAGCGTGAGCTGGGTTGATGGCAGGGAGGTGGGTGGATGAGGGTGAGCTGGGTTGATGGCAGGGAGGTGGGTGGATGAGCGAGAGCTGGGTTGATGGCAGGGAGGTGGGTGGATGAGTGCGAGCTGGGTTGATGGCAGGGAGGTGGGTGGATGAGCGAGAGCTGGGTTGATGGCAGGGAGGTGGGTGGATGAGCGAGAGCTGGGTTGATGGCAGGGAGGTGGGTGGATGAGCGTGAGCTGGGTTGATGGCAGGGAGGTGGGTGGATGAGCGTGAGCTGGGTTGATGGCAGGGAGGTGGGTGGATGAGCGCGAGCTGGGTTGATGGCAGGGAGGTGGGTGGATGAGCGTGAGCTGGGTTGATGGCAGGGAGGTGGGTGGATGAGCGCGAGCTGGGTTGATGGCAGGGAGGTGGGTGGATGAGCGTGAGCTGGGTTGATGGCAGGGAGGTGGGTGGATGAGCGCGAGCTGGGTTGATGGCAGGGAGGTGGGTGGATGAGCGTGAGCTGGGTTGATGGCAGGGAGGTGGGTGGATGAGCGCGAGCTGGGTTGATGGCAGGGAGGTGGGTGGATGAGTGTGAGCTGGGTTGATGGCAGGGAGGTGGGTGGATGAGCGAGCTGGGTTGATGGCAGGGAGGTGGGTGGATGAGCGAGAGCTGGGTTGATGGCAGGGAGGTGGGTGGATGAGCGAGAGCTGGGTTGATGGCAGGGAGGTGGGTGGATGAGTGCGAGCTGGGTTGATGGCAGGGAGGTCGGTGGATGAGTGCGAGCTGGGTTGATGGCAGGGAGGTGGGTGGATGAGCGAGAGCTGGGTTGATGGCAGGGAGGTGGGTGGATGAGCGAGAGCTGGGTTGATGGCAGGGAGGTGGGTGGATGAGTGCGAGCTGGGTTGATGGCAGGGAGGTGGGTGGATGAGCGTGAGCTGGGTTGATGGCAGGAAGGTGGGATGGGGTGCTGAGTTTGTGGGATGGGGTGCTGAGATGGTGGGATGGGGTGCTGAGATGGTGGGATGGGGTGCTGAGATGGTGGGATGGGGTGCTGAGATGGTGGGATGGGGTGCTGAGATGGTGGGATGGGGTGCTGAGATGGTACACGTTGTTGGCCGTGCCTGTGTTTCATTAAGTTGGGCCCTGTTGTGGGAAAAGTTGGAAAGAAAAAAAAACACCATGCTGAGAAAATGCGCATGCTTCAACATATCGGTTTGCGTGCAGCAAGATGATGGAAGATGACACCATGGATCACACGGTAAAAACGTTTGCGTGCAGCAAGATGATGGAAGTGTGTGCATGCATCAGTTGGAGCCATCGAATTTTGCCTTTAACGTCCTCCTTTTACCATCCTGCATTGTTCATACACACACAGACACACATACACACACACACACACACCGTCACACACACTCTCACACACACACACACGACGACGGCCAGCCGACTCCAAGCACACCCGTGCTTCCATGTGCAAGTGCCTGCAAGCACGCCCACATATGCGTGATGCTCACCTTTAGTGGTAGGGGCGTTAGCACCGTGACTGTTCCATGCTGTTTTGTGCGAGAGGCAGCTGCTGTTCTGTTATGAGCCACCCTGTCTCTAGTGCGACTATAGGGATGCTGTTGGTGCAGGCAGCAGTAGTAGTGCTGGTGCGGATAACTAAGGCGTCTGCACAGGCGGCAAAGGTGCTGACAATGCGGGCACCAGCAGTTCTGTTAGCAGTGGTTCAGAACCACTGGTAATGGTCAGTGGTATTGATGCGGGTGTCAATGGTGCCAGTGGTAATGCGGCCGGCAATGCTTTTGGTGACTAGAACTAAGGAAAGGAGATACCTCTAAACCCCAAACCCTAACGCTAAACCCACATGTTAACGTGATACTGTAGTTTAACCTGTTGAGGGAATATTTGTTAATTCTACAATAAACAATTACAGCAAATAGCAGGTTGCAATCGTTTACGCTATGAACCCCTAACATAGAAACAGGAAGCACAATCAGCTGCCAGCATTGTTCGGGTCACAGACATGATGTGATGCAGCATCAGATGGTGGGCCAGCTTGGCTGGTTGACAAGCATGCCATTGGATCAGAGTGGGTTCAGACGGTGGGGTTCCGTGCAATGAGTGAGTGCCTGAACGAGTGCCTGCCAGTCTCTACTTGAGCCAACGAGCTCCATGCACCATCCCTGTTTCTGGGTGGGAGGAGGGAGGTCCAGGAAGGAGGAGTGAAAGAGATGGGTTGTGACAGAAGGGTGATTTAGATGTGATGGAAACGTTGAACCTCACAGTGGTGGCACAGAATGCAGCAGCAGCAGCAAGAAGTTGCAAAGATGAGAAACAAGTAACGGCTCCGCACCCATATGAGTTGAAGACCGCATTCAAGTAAGGAGACCTGCGTGCACTGAGAGATGAAAATCTGAGCGACATAAGAAAACAACTTTTCATTTCGCTTCGACGTTGCCATGCCTGCCCCTACAACATCCTTCTCAAATTGTCTTGCAATGCATTGCCTCCCATGCCACCATGGCCAGCTCCCTGCCATGTGCTCATCCATGCAACAACCAACGCTTTTAATTCATGCTCACCTTCAGTGGAACGTGCATTGGTGCTCGAATCAGCTGTTGCAAACAGACCATTCCGGTAGTGGTGGCGATGGTGCGGAAAGCAGTGGCGTGAGTGGCAGTGATGCTGTTGGTGCAGGTGGCAGTGGTTTCGTTAATGCGGGTGGCGGTGTTGCCAGTGATGCGGGAGGCGGTGTTGGCAGTGATGTTGGTGGCAGTGGTGGCGGTGGCATTGGCCGTAGTGGCGCTGGTAGTGCGGGTATTAGTGGTGCCAGTGGTGCGGAAAGAAGTGATTCTGTTGGTGCGGGTGCAAGTGTTCCCTGTGGTGCGGACAGAAGCGGTGCCGCTTTTGGGTGCCGCTTCTGGTTGCAGAAGTGCCAGTGGCGCCGGCTGCAAAAGCGCCGGTGGGCAGGGCAGAAGTGGCGGCTGTGGTGCGTGTGGCGGTGACATTTGTAGCTATGTTGTTATGGGCGGCAGTGCCTCTGGTGGTGGGGCGGCAAAGGGGGGGGTGGCGATGGTGCCTCTGGTGGTGCGGGTTGCAGTGATTCCGGCAGTGCGTGTAGCAGTGGTGGCGGTGGTGTGAGTCTGGGCTGTAGCACAGGGTTGGAACATGGGAAGAAAAATGGGTACAAGCATGAAAACGAGTAAGGGAACAATCATGGAGGGTAGGAGACACACGATTACCATGGGGCAACGGATTGATGTGGGTTACGACATGAGGACAAGCATGTTGAAACACATGGGTGCAAAGCCCCAGACTACAGTAGTTGGAAAACATATCAAAACAATCTGAACTGGTCGTAATGAGGGGAGAAGTCAGAAAACGAAAAAGAGGGTGAAAACGAAAGAGCCACGCTCACTACTGCCATCCAAGCTCTTGAGGCACGAATATAGTGACAGTGACATGCCGTGCAGATGGATGCCGTGCATCAAACAGGCAAAACCCTCCGCTCAGGTACCACGGCAAAAAACTGCGACGAGATTCCAAAGATCATGCGTCACACCCTCTCAAACCCTCTCACACCCTCTCACCCCTAGCACACTCACTCCCCCTCCCCTCTTCACGAACAGATACGTGCATTGATATAGGCAGAAAGGTAAAGACATGCATTGGGCTCTTGCGCTACCAACAAACAGACAAGCTGTGTGACCAAGCAAGCAAACAACATTCTCCTACCGGCTAGCTCCTTCTAAGGGAGCTCTAGTGCAGACTCCAAAATGGTGAGTCAGTCCCCACCGTCGAGTGGTGTTCTCTAGGCAATGGTTGTCCCCGCTGCACACTTTGAGTCGTCTCAAAAGGACTCCACCAGGGCTGCCAGGTTAGTACATCTGGTCATGTAACCGAATGGCTGTCCCCGCCGCCGCGCCACTGACCAGCGTTGGCGGAAATGGCGAAGCTTTTTCGCCGCTTGGTAGGTCGTGGGCTCGGTGTTGACGTGCTTCCGGGCTGCTGTCTTCTACACCTGCCCTCTGTCTTCACCCTCTCTGCCAACTTCCCCCTCTCAATATGCTGTCACAACCAAATTTCTGAGAACCTTGCCTCCCTATCCCTGTTTCCCCCCCCCCCCTCTATGCCAGCATTCTCTTCCTCTCCGCTACTTTCTCTCCTCCCTCCAGCACAATGAGTGAATGGCAGGGAAATAAATGAATGGCAAGGAGATGGGTGAATGGCAGGAAAATGAGTGAATGGAAGGGAAATGGGTGAATCGCTGGGAAATGTGTGAATGACTGGAAAACGGGTGAATAGAAGGGAGATGGGTGAATGGCAGGGAAATGGGTGAATAGAAAGGAGATGGGTGAATGGAAGGAAGATGGATAATAGCAGGGAAATGGGTGAATGGCAGGGAAATGGGTGAATGGCAGGGAAATGGGTGAATGACTGGGAAATGGGTGAATAGAAGGGAGATGGGTGAATGGCAGGGAAATGGGTGAATAGCAGGGAAATGGGTGAATGGTAGGGAAATAGGTGAATTGAAAGAAAATGGGTGAATGGCAGGGGAATGGGTGAATGGCAGGGGAATGGTTGAATGGAAGGGAGATGGGTGAATGGCAGGGAAATGGGTGAATAGAAGGAAAATGGGTGAATAGCAGGAAAACGGGTGAATGATAGGGAAATAGGTGAATCGAAAGAAAATGGTTGAATGGCAGGGAAATGGGTGAATGGCGAGGAAATGGGTGAATGGCAGGGAATTGGTGAATGGCAGGGAGATGGGTGAATGGCAGGGAATTGGTGAATGGCAGGGAAATGGGTGAATTGCAAGGAAATGTGTGAATGGAAGGGAAATGTGTGAATGGCAAGGGAATGGTTGAATGGCAGCGAGACAAGTGAATGGAAGGGAAACGAGTGAACGGGTGGGAGATGGGTGAATGGCATTGATATGGGTGAAAATATATTAGGAATGGATGCAAGTAGTGCAGGTCCTCCAATCTCCTGAGTCACGAGGGCACCATAAACTGCAAGCAGACTTCCCTTCCGCTCCTCTTGCTGACCCACTTGCTGATCCGCTCTCCATCCCTTCTTCTGTTGTCACACTTCCTAAAACCAGTTGTTTCTCCTCGTGCTGACTCTCTTGCTGACCCTCTTGCTGATCCACCTGCTCATTCTCGCACAGCAGCTTGTTGCTTCTCATCTTGCTGCTTCAGCCATAGCTGTTTGAGCTGCTCGTCATTCATCTCTGCAGGTACTCGTTGTATCCGAAACGGTTAACAACATGCAATGGCATGGCGCATGCTTGTCAACATCACTGCTGCCCACCATTGCCCATCGCACCACTGGCACCAATTCCGCCGCCTCATGCATCTCTTCTGCCCAAACCTTAGCACCATTGCCACCTGCACAACTGGCACCATTGCCACCTGCATTACAACCATTGCGACCATTGCCACCCTCCCGCTTTCTAGTCATCTTTTCCTAGAACTCCCTCATCCAATGTGAGAGCATATGTCAACCAAGCGTTTCTAGTGTGATCTTCCGTGGTTTACGTTACTTATTTTCTTGGCATGCCGATTGTGGAGTCTCTCCCTCTCTCTCTGCCTTTTTATTTATCCTTGTCCATTCTTGGTCGGGATTGGCTTGTCATTTTGAGCGTTACATGTCAAATAATCGTTCCACTAACCTCCAAGGGTTTAATTTTCAACATTGCGTTTTGAGTACAAACCACGGAAGCTATTGATTGCATTACATAAACCGCGGTAAGTTCCAACCCACTTCATACTGCAATTTTCATATTTTGAAATGGGAAGGGAAGAACATACTATATATTTGTTATGAGAAGTCCAGCAAAAATGATATACCTTCAAATGTACATAAACCTGAAACGCACATCATCTCACCACACAGTACCGAAGTGTACATTCTGGTTCGTCTTCCCAACGGACACATTATTTCCCGCCCACCAGCAGATCCTCAAAGCTGAGACAAGAGAAGCTCATTGCAATGCGTTGGATCCAGCCTGGTGAATTATGTCACAGCGACCCCCTCAACTCAAACATACACCATTTCATTTCTGCAAGTTGGCCCAAACGCCTGAAGCTTAGGGTTCCTCTTCGTGAAGACTTCATGTGAAGACTCTCACTGCGACCTTTCTTATTAGTCTTCGAGCGTTTTTGTTAGTCCCCATGGCGTCTTATCAATTAGCCAGAATGGCCACTGGGTCACCGTTCGAACTGCTGTCAGACGAACTCCTCGCCATTATCCTCCATCTCGTAGCTCGATCCGACGGTCAGTTCCAGCACGCGCTTGTGTGCAAGGAATGGCATCGCGTCGCCCGTCGCGTGCACGACCATTTTCAGATTCGCGAAAACCGTCACATGCGTCCTCGCGAGCTGCTCGCGCACCTCACGTCATTCCCAAGGCTGCGAAAGCTCGTCCTCGCCCACGGCAGCATCACGTCCGTCCCTGACTCCCTCCTCTCGCGAATTGCTGACACGTGTCCAGACCTGACGGACCTCCACGTCGAGATGATGGATCGACAGTACAGACAGGGGGGGTTCACTGAGGAGGGACTGTCATATCTCCTAGAGAAATATACACGGCTGGAGGGACTTCATCTCGATTGTCAGTCAAATCTGACCACCATTCCTTCCTCAATCGGCCTTCTTTCGTCACTCAAGAGCCTGCACATCAACGGCCGTCGAATCGTTCGCCTCCCAGACGCGTTGACCTCGTTACAGTCACTCGAGCATCTCGTGATTGTAATGTTCCGCCTGGATGAGCTGCCTCAGAACTTCGGCAATCTGAAACGGCTCAAGTCGCTCCAGCTGAACGATTGCATGCAGCTCAGCTCCATTCCCGATTCTTTCGGGCAGCTTACCAACTTGAGACATCTTTCTATCAACGACTGCAGGACAAGGCTTCAGCTGCCCGAATCGATTTCCAATCTTTCGTCCCTGCTGACCCTCGAAATTTCCAACTGCCAAAACCTTTTACCGCTGCCCGAGAGTTTTGCAAACCTGCCAGCGCTTGAAACCCTACGTCTGGAGGAGGTGGGGGGAATCACCAACTTGCCCTCGAATCTCGGGCAGCTGCAGCGGTTGCGGCTCCTCTCCGTAATTAACCGCGACAGAATAATCTCTCTTCCGTCCTCCGTTTCCCTCCTGCCTTCCCTCACGGACCTTATTCTCGTCGGCATGGCGCTCCAGCATCTGCCTGACAACGTTGGTCATCTGCCACACCTACAGACGCTCACGCTGGACTTTAGCATTCTCATGGAGCTGCCTTCCTCCATCGCCCTTGCCACAGCGCTCAAGCAGCTCACGCTCGAGAATATTCAACTTCCACTACACCTGCCCGGAAATCTCGAGCAGCTGACTGCCTTGGAAACCCTGCACCTGATCAAGCTACCGCAGCTCAGCAGCCTGCCTGCATCCCTTGGCAACCTGACGAGCCTCAAGGAGCTGAAAATATCCGAATGCACCGCGCTGGCACAGCTTCCAGCCTCCCTGAGTCGGCTATTTTCCCTCGAGCTGCTGGAAATGAGGGACTGCAGCAAGCTGAAGGTGCTGCCGCAGGGCATGGGGGATGGTCTGCATAGCCTGCGCAGACTGATTCTCGTTAGATGCACGGCTCTCACCCGCCTCCCTCCATCCCTCTTCAGTCTCTCCTCCCTCGAAACCCTAAAAATCCGTGATGCCCTTAACTTACGCGGCACCCTGCCAGGCGGTTTTGCACGCTCCACAAACCTCAAGAAGCTCTCTCTCTCCTCCCTGCCGCACCTGCCCGCCCTGCCTGCCTCCCTCCCTGCCACCGCCCGCACGCTCACCAGCCTCGTGCTGCTCAGCTGCCAGCGAATCACGGCGCTGCCAGAGGAGATCGGACGGCTGGAAGGGCTCGAGAAGCTCAGGCTTTCAAATCTTGACCTTAAGTCGCTCCCTTGCTCGCTGTCGCAGCTGCAGGGGTTGAAACTTCTAGAAGTGAGATTCTGCAGAGCGCTGGAGTCGCTGTTTGGTGATGAAAACACAGAAGCCGCTGGGCATGACCTTGTGGGGAGAAGCGACCAATGTGTTTTCTTTCCATCCCTTCAAACGCTTAAGCTTGAATCACTTCCATTCCAGCTGCTTGGTCCATCGCTGGGCTCCTTCCCGTCGCTCACGAAGCTGGAAATCCTGCGAATGCATCGGCTCCGCACCCTCCCAGATTCCATCTCTCGCCTCTCAAGCCTGCAGACGCTCACAGTTGGCCATGCTGAACGCCTGCTGGCTCTGCCGGAAACACTAGGCAGGCTGCCAGCGCTCACATCCCTCCAACTCGACAAACTCCTGAGCCTGACTGAGCTTCCCGAGTCGTTTGGGCAGCTGAAGATGCTTCAGTTTCTGGAGATTCACGAGATTCCGGGCCTAACTAGGCTTCCCGAGTCCTTCCCTCAGCTGAGCAAACTGGAGCTGTGCCATTTCTTCAGCATCGGAATCTCATGCCTTCCAGATGACTTCTGGAAGCTCTCTTCTCTCGAGTACCTCACTCTGAACTTACTGCCTAATCTTTGCAGCTTACCCGAGAAATTTTCACAGCTGCCCGGACTGGAGGACTTGCACCTGCACGGGTGCAAGCGGCTGGGTCGGAGAAGCTGCAGGCATGCGTTATCACTGGGTGCCCGCTGCTGTCGACACGGCGGAGGGGGGTGATTTACGGCACAGCGAACCTGGACGAGGGAGAGCGTTTAGTGGGTGCAGAGAGGTGGGGGGGAGAGGAGATAGCGGAGGAAGACGAAGGGAGTGAAGGGGAGGAGGAAGAGGGAAGCGATGAGGAGGGGAGTGAAGGGGAGGGGAGTATGGAATGGGGGGAGGTGGTGGAGTGAGATGGCGTTGAGGAAGAAGAGGAAGGCAAGGCTGGGAAGGTGAGAGGGGAATGGCATGGGGATGGAAGAGGAAGTATGAAATAGGTGAGGTGGTTAAGGGGTGGGGGCTTGGTTAAACAGAGAAGAGTTGGTGCATATGCATTTCTTGGTATCATTTTGTTTCATGTCAACTCAAGTTGTTTACGCACTGTTGGTGGCAGAACGACTTTTGAGCTGCACAAAAAAAAAAAAAAAAAACGTGTCATGTCAACCTGATTGGTATTCGTACGTTGTTGCCAGAATGTGTGTTCCGTTTCCGTTTCTGGTTATTGTAAGGTTGCACCACTGACGCCTTCAACTCCCTCACTGCCCCCGTTCCTCCATCCCCCTCTCCCCCCCCCCCCCCCTCCCCCTCTCCCCCCCCTCCTATCTCCTGCAGCCAACTTCACCAGTTTCGCTGCTGACACTCCTGTTGTGCTGAGCTGGCATTTCTGGATGCCACGCTGTCAGACGGCCTCGCTGAGCTGGCATCCGACCCAGACTTCAGAGCAAAATCCCGGCAGGTTTCACAAGTTTTCTGCTTTACACGGGCAATGGTTAAAAATATGCCCGCTGCTGCAGCTTGGCAAGCCAGATTTGCCTTTTAGGGGACAAAGCCGAGGGTACAGTGAACCTGGACGAGGGAAATCGTGCAGTGTGTGGCTCAAAGGTAGAAGATTAAGGGGAAGGGCGGATGTGGGAGGAAGGAGAGTAGTGAAAGCGAGAGAGGTGAAGGATCGGTTAGTGGAAAAACGGGAAAGGATGTGGAGTGAGATGGAGATGAGGGGGAAGAGAAGGGCAAGGATGAAGAGATGAGGGAGGGGGATGGTGAGGAGATGGGGTCGGAGGATCTGGAGGATGAGTAGGAGGTAGGTGAGGTGGCTAGCAGTACAGTGCCATTTCACCACGTGGCTTTACTCCTGCTTTGTTGCATTTACGGTTTAGGTCATGGTTAGGTTGCAAAATTGATAGTGTTCATGCACACATGGGTTGTAGAGTAGATGCATGTGCCTCTCTTATCATAGGATGGGTCCGGTTTCGGCCCACAGCAGGTTGAACATTGACTGATGATACCGTAAGTTTGCGCGATAAGTTGAGCGGTAAGCTGCATACTGGTGTACCGTAGGCCGTGTACAAGAAACTTGATTCAGGAGAAAATTGATGTAAAACATGCTAAACACTCATCTTTGCCCTGAGTCAATGTGTTGGCTTGGTAAGGGAAAACACCAGGAACCAGGTGAGTAGACAGAAAGCATGAACAAGGTAAATTACCCTGTCAACTACCACCGTAACCTGCTCGAGGGACAAAGAAATCAATCTACGATCAACATGTCATGGAACGTAAATTACCCTGTCAACCCCCAACATGTAGAAAAAGAGGCACAATCAGCTGTTCTCTGGAATGTGACACACAAAGGTAATGTCAGGTGGCATCAGATGACGGCAACATGCAGATGGTGGGGCAGCTTGACTGGTATACACACAGGTATGCCATCGGACGAGAACTGGTGCAGATGGGTGGGTCACTGTCAAATGTTATAGCCTCTAGTGGGTCATGCTATATGGGGTACAAATAGTTAGGGTTAGGCATTTGTACCCCAACCCTATCAATCCAACCCATTCCGCTGTGTTTAGTTTCTGAGATGGTATCAGCAGTAGGTTCGCCGTTCCTAGGCCACACTTAGTCTCCGCCGTTCCTAGACTTCGGCCGTCACTAGCCTTGGCGTGAACCCCCCACCCCCCCCCCCCGTCTGCCCTAAGCACCCTAAGCCAGCAGGCCCGCCAGCGCCCTAGCCAGCAGGCCCGCCAGCGCGCACGCCAGCGCGCCCCGCCAGCGTGCACGCCAGCGCGCCCGCCAGCGCGTCACGCCAGCGCGCACGCCAGCGCGCCCCGCCAGCGCGCACGTCAGCGCGCACGCCAGCGCGCCCCGCCAGCGCGCACGCCAGCGCGCCCGCCAGCGCGTCACGCCAGTGCGCACGCCAGCGCGCCACGCCGGCGCGCACGCCAGCGCACCGCGCCGCCCGCCCGCCAGCCAGCGCGCCGCGCCGCCTGCCTGTCCGCATGCCGCGCCGCCTGCCCACCTGCACGCCTGCGCGCTTGCCCACACGCCACTGACTGTCTCCCCCTCCCGCGGCTGGCAGCCGCGCTCTCTCAGTTTCGCCCCCTATGGCGACCTTCCGAGTACTTCGATTTGACCCTGAGGGGAGACCGATTGACATTAGTACGTGGCTTACGCAGGCGCAGCGCCACCTTAAGAGCCAGCGGCAGGATGGCGTGCACCTGTTCGCACATGCGTCCGGCACTCAGACCGCCCCTCCGCAGCCTCAGCCGCTGCCCACTACTCCACCGCCTACTTCTGAGCAGGAGGCCGACTACCAGCGCCAGCTCCTCGCTCGCGACGTGTGGGAGTCTCGTGACGCCGCTGCCTGCCTCACCCTGACCGACCTTCTCCCGGCGACAGAGGCAGTCCACTTCGCTCAGGTCGAGTCTGCTGCAGATCTGTATAAGGCTATTGTTACTCGCTACTCCACTCCCTCCTCTGCTTCGCTCAGTCGCCTCCTCGTACCCTTTATCTACCCTGACCTCGCCTCTTTTGAGACTGTCTCTGACCTCGCTACTCACCTGCGCTCCCTTGATGCTCGCTTTCGCGCTGCTTGCACTGAGGACCAGCTTGCCCTTGCCCCACCCCCTATGTGGCTCACTATTCACTGGCTAGTCACTCGCCTCCCTGACCGCCTAGCCACAGCCCGCGACGCGCTTCTTCTGAAGCACCCCACTGAGCTTACCATCGATCTTCTTGAGATTGCTCTCTCGAAGATCGAGAGTAACCTCCTCACTGTTGCCTCTGCCTCTTCCGCGCCTCCTCCTCGTCTTTTTGAGGGGTGTGCGGTACCACAACTTCCCACCTTCTCTGCCTCACTTGCCACCCCCACGTCTTCTGCCTCTGAGGAGACGGCGGCTGTTTCTGTCTCTGGCGGGCAGAAACGTGGCAAGGCTGGCAAGAGGGGCGGGAAGGGCGGCGGGGGTACTGGAGGTGGTGCGGGTAGTGGCGGTGGCGGTGGAGCAGGTGGTGGGAGTGGTGGTGGGGGTGGCTCGGGACCTGACGGCCCTCCTTTCGACGGTGGAGTTTCCACTGGTGGTGAGGGGTCCCAGCAGCAGCAGCAGCCGACTCCTCAGCAGCTGCCACCGCCTGGACAGCAGCAACGGCAGGGACAGCAGCAGCAGCGACAGGGCCATCAGCAGCGCCCGCCACAGCAGCAGCCTCAGCAGTGGGGCCCTCCGCAGCAGTGGGGCCCTCCGCAGCAGTGGGGCCCTCCGCAGCAGTGGGGCCCTCCGCAGCAGTGGGGCCCTCCGCAGCAGTGGGGCCCTCTTCAGCAGTGGAGGTCTGCGGTTCCCCCGAGCACTGGGCGCAGTGGCGCCCCCTCCAGTCGGGGACCTCGCTCGGCCGGCCGCGACGTTGGTCCCTGTTGTTAGAGACTAAGGACGAGGTCTACGAAGATTATGGGCCTAAATTTCTCAAAATCGTTGGCTTAGAATTCTGGACAGAAAAGCCGAGTTCACAAGAAACGCCGTCGATGAAAAACGCATCGTCACAACTTCACCAATTCCGGATATGTTGTAGCCCTAGAGCGTAGCTACAATTCCCAGTTTGAATCGTATCAAAAGGTGAAGTATTTTCTCGACTTATCAATTTTGGCGCACAGGGGGGTATGCTGCCAAAGAATCTTAACCCAATCACAAGAATCTCACAATTTCCACACAAGGAAGTTAGAGTAGCAATTAACCAGGTGGGAGGAAAGAGGAGGACGAGAGGGAAGGTTCCCAAGGAGTCCCCAACCAAGGAAACCCCATGCCACACAATTCCCCTCTCCATAGGCAAGCCCACTTTCACTTTTGTCACTTTCCCAACCCATGCCATCCACCTTGCCCAACTTGGCCACACTTGCCAACCTGGTTTGGCTCCTCCCAACCACTTGGCAGCATCTACAGTGATGGGGACGAATTTCCCAACCCCCAAAAGTCTGTACCCCATATGGAGTCAACACCACAACTTCCCATAGTCACCACAACCAAATATCAAAAGCATACGAACTTCCAACGTTCGTAACTTTCTCGTTCGTGCTCCGATTGAACCGATCCTTGGCTCTTCGGAAAGCTCTTGAGCAGAGGAGTCACTTCAGATATCTTCTCAAGCCAAATAACATTCACACACACTCAGAAAAACCAAACCACATCAAACACAAATTCTTGCACACGCTCACACCACGCATGCAACGCACGAACTTGTGATGGGAGGCAGACAGACGTGAATGCAAATGATAGCATCACATAACACCTGTGAGTACTGGATCCTTACGGGTCCTCGTCGGGACTCGTACTGTGGCCGCCCCGACCACTCTGCTGCACGCTGCTTCAGTCGTCTCGACGACCTCTATCGCTTGCACCACGGCCCCTCCGCTCCCCCGCCGCCACGCTGGGGGACACTTCTTGCTCGTGGTATTGCTGTTTTTGATATGACTATGGATGATGCTAGGTCATATGCCATGTATGCTGATGTTGACTATAGTGCTCCTGGATCTGTGTACTTGCCTTTACCTAGCTTAGGATCTTTGCCTGTTGCTAGAGTAGGTGCTAGTGTAGGATCTTGTTTAGCTACTAGTACTGGTACTCCCTCGGCGGACGCCTCTCTCTCCTTCACACTGGACTCCGGAGCGTCACACTGCTTCTTCCGCGTCCGCACGACTCTCTCTTCGCTACCGGCGCCTGTCCCTGTAGCACTGGCCGATCCCTCTTCGGGACCGGTCATTGCGACTCACGCCACTACACTCCCGTGCCCAGCTGCTCCTTCCGGTTCCCTGACTGGCCTCCACGTTCCTACGTTCTCTAGGAACCTGGTTGGTGTGGGCACCCTGGCGAGACAGCACGTTGGGGTCTGGGTAAAGCCTTCTGGTGACACCACGGTCTATGTGGACGGTGACACGTACGCCCCCTTGGCCACTTTTCGCCAGGAGCCGGGCTCCGGTCTGTACACCCTCCGCACCGACCCCCGTCAGGTTCCCCCGTCCCACCAGGTAGCCGGGTCCAGTCAGGTTGCTGTGTCAGGTGTAGTTGCTGCGTCGTGCTCGTGTCGGTCGCTTGCCCACCCCTCCCTCCTCTGGCACCACCGCCTTGGTCACCCTTCCCTCCCTCGTCTCCGCGCTATGTCCAGTCAGCATCTTGTCTTAGGCCTCCCCCGAGTCCTCCCGCCACTCCCGCCGTCCCCAGCTCCTCCGTGCGGTCCTTGTGTCCAGGGTCGGCTGCGCGCCACCCCTCACTCCTCCTCCCTTCGTCCGGCCACCGAGCCCTTCGAGACTCTCCACTTAGACATCTGGGGCCCCGCTTCCCGCCTTGGCCCTGCGCGTGAGAGTTTCTTTCTGGTGGTCGTTGACGACTACTCTCGGTACACCACCGTGTTCCGTTTGGCGAAGAAGTCCGACGTGACTTCTACGCTGATCTGGTGGCTCCTCGCCACCGAGGGCACTCGTGGTCGTCGTGTCAGTTGTCTTCACTCCGACCGTGGGGGTGAGTTTCGCTCCGGCATTCTCGCCAGATTCTGTGCTGAGCAGGGCATCACCCAGTCCTGGACTCTTCCAGACTCTCCACAGCAGAATGGGGTTGCTGAGCGCCGGTTAGGCCTGGTCATGGAGATCGCCCGCACCTCCATGATCCACGCCCGCGCGCCCCATTTTCTGTGGCCCTACGCGGCTCGGTACGCCGCTCACCAGCTGAACCTCTGGCCTCGCGTCTCTCGGCCAGAGGCTTCACCGACCAGTCTTTGGACAGGGTCCCCTGGTGTTGCGTCGAGGTTTAGTGTCTGGGGCTGCTTGGCTCTTGTCCGCGACACCTCTGCGGACAAGATCTCGCCTCGCGCTGTCCCCTGTGTCTTCCTTGGTTTTCCAGAGGGCTCCTCTGACTTCACCTTTTACCACCCTCCCTCCCACCGGTTCTTTGACTCTCGTGACGTCCGCTTCGACGAGTCCGTCCCCTACTACGTCCGGTACCCCTGTCGAGGTCTCCCGGTTCCCCCCCCTCCCCTCTTCCTGGCTCAGGCTCCTCCTCCTCCCGCCCCTACTCCTCCAGTACCACCCCCTGTTCCCGCTCCGTCTGGTGTGTCCCACGCTACTCCCCCCCCCCTTGGTACCCCCCCAGATCTCTCCTCCTTCCCCACAGTCGTCCTCACCGCCTCCGCAGCAGCCGTCAGCGCTTCCTTTACCGGCCACTGCGGCCTCTGAGGGTGTTGGTGCTCAAGGTGAGGGCTCGGGCAGTGCTCGCTCTGGGGGTGCTGGCGTTGGAGCTGTTCGTGCACCTACAGGAGCAGCCAGTTCTGGGGGTGTTGGCGTTGGCACTGAGCGTGCACCTGCCGCAGCTGCCCGTTCCGGGGGTACTGGAGCTGGTGGTGGTGCTGGAGCTGGTGGTGTTTCTGGAGTTGGAGAGTCTGGGGCTGGTGCTGGTGCCACTAGAGGCACCACGACTGGGGGTGCGGGTACACCTCCTACAGGTACTGGTCGTGCTGCCGCGGGAGGTACTCGCTCTGGGGGTGCTCAGCCGGGTACTGTCGAGGACGGAGCCGGTTCTTCTGCTGCGTCTCCTGACACCACTCCTCCTCCTCACCCCTACCCGACTCGTTACCAGGCCCTTCTTCGTCTAGAGCGTGAGGAGCAGCAGCGTTTGGAGCATGAGAGGTCGGAGGTTCAGCAGCGGGTGGAGCGTGAGAGGTTGGAGTTGCAGCGGGAGCAGCAGCAGCAGTAGCCGCAGCAGCCGGAGCAGCCTCCGGCCCTTGTTTCTGGCCTTCAGGCCCATGGTCTCCCCTCCTCTCCTCCTGTGTTCGGTCCTACGTTTCCTCCTCCGGACTCAGCTCCGGCTGTGTTCCCTCGTTCTCAGTCTCCTCCGTCTCCCTCTCCTCTTGCCCACACTTGGACCTCTCGTCCCCCTCGTGCTCGTCCTTGGTCACCTGTCACTGACCTCCGTACCGTGTTGTTTCGTCCTAGTCCTCCTCGTCCTCCTCTGTCTGTTCTTCCTCGTCCTCCTGAGTCGTCTCTCACTGCCTCCCTGTCCACTCCAGTCACTGACTACTACCGCACGTACCGCCCTAGTCGCTCTCGTGTTCTCGCCTCTCTTGTTACTGACCCTCGTGCCTCTCCTTCCTCCGTCACGGTCCTCACTGCCACTATCACTGACTTTACTGTCACGCGTCTCCTTGACTACGCCACTCGTGTTGTGGCCGCTCCTCCTGTTCGTCCTCTGTCCGCCGGGAGTGAGTCTGCCTTTGGCTGTGACGTCCTAGAGGACAGACATTTTGAGCTAGAGTTCCTGGCAGCTGCTTCGCCTCATCTCTGTGCCATGCTCCTTGCTTCTGAGGGAGACCCCGACGCTCCTGACATACCTACTCCTCGCACTTACGCTGAGGCAGTGTCAGGGCCTTGGGCCTCTCAGTTGAGAGCTGGCATGGACGTAGAGATGGCCTCCTACAGGTCCACAAGCACTTACGTTGACGAGGTTCCCCCCCCAGGGGCGAACATAGTTGACGGCATGTGGATCTTCAAGGTGAAGCGGCCGCCGGGATCTCCCCCAGTCTTCAAGGCACGCTACGTGGCTAGAGGGTTCAGTCAGCGTGAGGGAGTTGACTTCTTTCAGACCTTCGCGCCCACCCCGAAGATGACCACTCTTCGGGTGTTACTGCACGTAGCAGCGCAGAGAGACTACGAGCTACACTCTCTTGACTTCTCCACTGCCTTCCTCCAGGGCAGTCTACACGAGGAGATCTGGCTGCGTCGTCCTCCAGGCTTCACTGGCACCTTTCCGCCTGGGACCCAGTGGAGCCTCAGACAACGAGTCTACGGTCTCCGCCATGCACCCCGTGAGTGGCACGACACTCTCCGCTCTACTCTGTCCGACCTCGTGTTTGAGCCGTCTTCCGCCGACCCGTCGCTGTTTGTTCGTCGTGGGCGCACACCTTTCTTCGTTTTCGTCTACGTTGACGACCTGGTTTTTGCAACAGCCGACACAGTTGCACTGGCGGAGGTGAAGTCTGAACTGCAGAAGAGACACACCTGCACTGACCTTGGGGAACTGCGCCGCTACCTTGGCCTGCAGATCTCCAGGGACATAGCCGCTCGCACCATCACTCTGACTCAGTCACACATGGTGCAGCAGGTCCTTCAGCGGTTCGGGCTTCAACACTCTTCTCCTACACCCACCCCTCTTGCTGTAGACCACAGACTCACTGGGCCTTTTCCTGACGAGCCGTTCGAGCCCAGTGGTCCCTACGCAGAGCTGGTGGGCTGCCTCATGTACCTGATGACGTGTACTCGCCCGGACCTCGCCTTCCCTCTTAGCATCCTTTCTCGCTTTGTTGCGACTGGGAGACACCGTCCTGTTCACTGGACGGCGGCTAAGAGGGTGGCAAAGTACCTCGGCGCGACATCAGACATGGGGCTTGTACTTGGAGGGACACAACCAGTTGTACTCACCGGTCACTGCGACTCCTCCTATGTCGACGACGTTGAGACTCAGAGGTCTACGCAGGGTTACTGTTTCAGCCTGGGCTCTGGAGCTGTTTCGTGGAGGTCCACTCGGTCCTCTTCTGTTGCGAATTCTACCGCAGAGGCCGAGATCTACGTTGGAGCCCTTGCTGCACAGGAGCTACGCTGGTTGACCTTCTTGCTCACTGACCTTGGTGAGCGGCCGAGCTCTGCACCGACCTTGTTTGCTGACAACAAGGCGATGATTCTCCTGTGTCGTGAGCCTCGACTTGAGAGCAGAGTGAAGCACATCGACGTCAAGTACTTCCTCCTTCGAGAGTTGCAAAGAGGCGGACAGGCTCGTCTGGACTTCGTGGCCTCCGAGGCCAACACTGCAGACATCTTCACCAAGGCCCTTCAGCCTTGTGACCACCGCCAGTTTTGTCTGCAGTTAGGCCTCGTTGAGACTGGGTCTAGTAGACTGCAGTAGTGAGTTCTTGCCTCTTGTTTGTGTGTACCATATATATTAGCTTGTATACTCTTGAACTGGCCTTGTGGCCCTTTGTTTGTGCTCAGACTGTGTGGTGACGTTGTGATCCACCCTGAGCTTTGTTTTCTCTCTTGCTTGTGACTGGTCTTGTGACCTTAGGTTGCGTTTCTTGTTGCTTGGCATTCCCCACTTATGCTATGGGGGTGTGTCAAATGTTATAGCCTCTAGTGGGTCATGCTATATGGGGTGCAAACAGTTAGGGTTAGGCATTTGTACCCCAACCCAATCAATCCAACCCATTCCGCTGTGTTTAGTTTCTGAGAGTCACTGCCTGCCACTCTTCACTTGTGCCAACGAGTTTGGTGCACCATCCCTGTTTCCCACTGGGAGGAGGGAGGTCCAGGAAGGAGGAATTAAAGAGAAGGGTTATGAGGGGAGAGTGATTTAGGTGCGTTGAAATGGTGAGCATCAAATACATGGAACAGAATAGCGACGGAACAGCACGAAGTACGGGGAAGGAAACATCGCCCCCCACCCACATGCATAGAGCTGAGGAGACTTGAATGCACCAAGTGTTGAGAATGTGTCTAGTTCCGGGACCTAACAGGAGGACCTCTCAAATTGAATCAATCGACCTCACGGCTTCCCCTAACTCGTGAATTTCAGCATCGTCTTGCAATGCACAGTCCTCCATGCCACGGATAAATACGGTAACAGAACTATCCCACAGCAACACACACCACCACCATGACCAGCCCCCTCCCTTGTGCTCGTGCCCACAAGCACATAACCACAATATCAATGCTCACCTCCAGCTGCAAAAGAAATGTTGCGGCGCGAGAGGTGTGTGGCATGAGACCCACCGTGTCTGTGCTGTGAGTGACAGTAGAGCTGTCGGTGTAAGCAGTAATGATGCTGCTGGTGCAGGCGGCTATTTTTCAGTTACTGCGGGCGGCGGTAGTGCTGGTGATGCGGGTGGCAGGTGTGGCGGTGGTGTTGTGGTGCGGAAAGCAGTGATATTGTTAGCACAGACGCCAGTGATGCCTGTGATGTGGCCGGAAGTGGTGGTGGTAGTGTGGACGGGAATGGTGCTGGTGGTGCGGGCAACATTGGTGCTGTTATCAATGCGGGCGGCAGTGTGGTGCGGGCAGAAGTGGTCCCTCGTTCAGGCGGCACGGGGTGAATGGCAGGGAGATGGGTGAATGGCAGGGAGATGGGTGAATGGGAGGGAGATGGGTGAATGGCAGGGAGATGGGTGAATGGGAGGGAGATGGGTGAATGGGAGGGAGATGGGTGAATGGGAGGGAGATGGGTGAATGGGAGGGAGATGGATGAATGGGAGGGAGTTGGGTGAATGGGGGGGAGATGGGCGAATGGGATGGAGATGGGCGAATGGGAGGGAGATGGGCGAATGGGAGGGAGATGGGTGAATGGCAGGGAGATGGCAGGGAGATGGGTGGATGGGAGGGAGATGGGTGAATGGGAGGGAGATGGGTGAATGGGAGGGAGATGGGTGAATGGGAGGGAGATGGGTGAATGGGAGGGAGATGGGTGAATGGCAGGGAGATGGGTGAATGGGAGGGAGATGGGTGAATGGGAGGGAGATGGGTGAATGGGAGGGAGATGGGTGAATGGGAGGGAGATGGGTGAATGGCAGGGAGATGGGTGAATGGCAGGGAGATGGGTGAATGGGAGGGAGATGGATGAATGGGAGGGAGATGGGTGAATGGGGGGGAGATGGGCGAATGGGAGGGAGATGGATGAATGGGAGGGAGATGGGTGAATGGGGGGGAGATGGGCGAATGGGAGGGAGATGGATGAATGGGGGGGAGATGGGCGAATGGGAGGGAGATGGGCGAATGGGAGGGAGATGGGCGAATGGGAGGGAGATGGGCGAATGGGAGGGAGATGGGTGAATGGGAGGGAGATGGGTGAATGGGAGGGAGATGGGTGAATGGGAGGGAGATGGGCGAATGGGAGGGAGATGGGTGAATGGGAGGGAGATGGGTGAATGGGAGGGAGATGGGCGAATGGGAGGGAGATGGGCGAATGGGAGGGAGATGGGCGAATGGGAGGGAGATGGGCGAATGGGAGGGAAATGGGCGAATGGGAGGGAGATGGGCGAATGGGAGGGAGATGGATGAATGGGAGGGAGATGGGTGAATGGGAGGGAGATGGGTGGATGGAAGGGAAATGGGCGAATGGGAGGGAGATATGGGTGAATGGCGGGGAGATGAGTGAATGGGAGGAAGATGGGTGAATGGGAGGGAGATGGGTGAATGGCAGGGAGATGGGTGAATGGCAGGGAGATGGGTGAATGGGAGGGAGATGGGTGAATGGCAGGGAGATGGGTGAATGGCGGGGAGATGGGTGAATGCCAGGGAGATGGGTGAATGGCAGGGAGATGGGTGGATGGGAGGGAAATGGGCGAATGGGAGGGAGATGGGTGAATGGGAGGGAGATGGGTGAATGGCAGGGACATGGGTGAATGGGAGGGAGATGGGTGAATGGCAGGGAGATGGGTGAATGGGAGAGAGATGGGTGAATGGGAGGGTGGTGGGTGAATGGAGGGAGATGGGTGAATGGGAGGGAGATCGGTGAATGGGAGGGTGATGGGTGAATGGGAGGGAGATGGGTGAATGGGAGGGAGATGGGTGAATGGGAGGGAGATGGGTGAATGGCAGGGAGATGGGTGAATGGCAGGGAGATGGATGAATGGGATGGAGATGGGTGAATGGGGGGGAGATGGGCGAATGGGAGGGAGATGGGTGAATGGCAGGGAGATGGGTGAATGGCAGGGAGATGGGTGAATGGGAGGGAGATGAGCGAATGGGAGGGAGATGGGCGAATGGGAGGGAGTTGGGCGAATGGGAGGGAGATGGGTGAATGGGAGGGAGATGGGCGAATGGGAGGGAGATGGGCGAATGGGAGGGAGATGGGTGAATGGGAGGGAGATGGGTGAATGGGAGGGAGATGGGTGGATGGGAGGGAAATGGGCGAATGGGAGGGAGATGGGTGAATGGGAGGGAGATGGTTGAATGGGAGGGAGATGGATGAATGGGAGGGAGATGGGTGGATGGGAGGGAAATGGGCGAATGGGAGGGAGATGGGTGAATGGCGGGGAGATGAGTGAATGGGAGGGAGATGGGTGAATGGGAGGGAGATGGGTGAATGGCAGGGAGATGGGCGAATGGGAGGGAGATGGGTGAATGGCAGGGAGATGGGTGGATGGGAGGGAAATGGGCGAATGGGAGGGCGATGGGTGAATGGGAGGGAGATGGATGAATGGGAGGGAGATGGGTGAATGGGAGGGAGATGGGTGAATGGCAAGGAGATGGGTGAATGGGAGGGAGATGGGTGAATGGCAGGGAGATGGGTGAATGGGAGGGAGATGGGTGAATGGGAGGGAGATGGGTGAATGGCAGGGAGATGGGTGAATGGCAGGGAGATGGGTGAATGGCAGGGAGATGGGTGAATGGCAGGGAGATGGGTGAATGGGAGGGAGATGGGTGAATGGCAGGGAGATGGGTGAATGGCAGGGAGATGGGTGAATGGGAGGGAGATGGGTGAATGGGAGGGTGGTGGGTGAATGGCAGGGGGATGGGTGAATGGCAGGGAGATGGGTGAATGGCAGGGAGATGGGTGAATGGCAGGGAGATGGGTGAATGGCAGGGAGATGGGTGAATGGCAGGGAGATGGGTGAATGGCAGGGAGATGGGTGAATGGCAGGGAGATGGGTGAATGGCAGGGAGATGGGTGAATAGCTGGGAATTGTGCGTTTGGTCAGGAAATGGGCAAATGGCAGGGATGGAAGGGATGGGTGATTGACAAAAATTGGGTGAATGGAAGAGAGATGGGTGAATGGCAGGGAATGGTGTGATTCGCCGGGAAATGGGCAAATGGCAAGGAAATGGGTGAATGGAAGGGAGATGAGTGAATGGCAAGGAGATGGGTGAACGGCAGGGAGGTGGGTGAATGGTAGGGGAGATGGTTTATCACTTGAAAACCTGGTAGCACAGGGCTTCGCTCCAACCTTGAGTGGCGAGGTGCAGTTACTGCTTTGTGACAACCCAACCCCCCCTTTGAAAATTGACCTGCTCAGGATTGGGTTACAGTTTTCGCACCAATCTCCTCCCCAACCTTGATTGGTTGCAGGTTGTGGCGAAATCGCCAACACAACCCAACCTCACGAAATTAGTACCCCCCAACCGAGCCTTGCACGAAACTGGCGGGATTCGCCAGTTGTGTTTGAAACCTTTGCGCCCTGATTTCTGGAAAAGGATCATTTCGTGAGCAAATCAGTCTGTGTCCTAGGGTGTGCACCCGAAATACCCCCAGAAAATACAAATTCGAATGTAGACCGCAGCTTTAAAGTGCATAGGTGAAAGGGAGATGGGTGGATGGTTGCAAGCTGAGTTAGTGTCAGGGAGAGGAGTGTTAAAAGAGTTGGTGAATTGCCTTTGGTGATACGTTTGATATCAGCTCATTTTGATCCGTGTGTGAGAAATCAGGAGCTGTGGAATTGCCTCTTAAGGGGTGCAGTAGTGCAGATCACTCTACTACTTGCATCATTTCTACCAATCCGCCAGGTTTATGATAATTTTCTCCCGAGTTGATTTCAACTTGATTTCCTCTTCCTACTGATTCTCTCATCTCATTCTCTCCAGTTTCATTGTTTCCCCGGGGAGGCACTAGCAGCAGTTCCCGTTTCATTCTTCTGTACCTTTTGCCATCCTTCTGGCAGGGCCTCTTCTAACACTTCCCAGACCGTAGCTGCTCCCCTTGCTGATTCGTCTGATTCGCTCGCTGCTGCTTTTGCTGATCCTTTTGCTGCTCAATTTGCTATTACAGCCACAGCTGCCGCACCTGTTCGTGCTAAGCCATTGATGCTCGCCATGCATCATTCTCTCGATGTTTCACAGCATGTTACCAAATGCAATACAATGGGACATGCTTGTCCTTGTTCATGCATGTTACCACATCCTTTGCTGGATGCTTATCTAGTGTTCTTCCATCCTTCATGCCTGTTCCCATGCTCGTTATCGTCATTTGCCACAGCCCAAATATCCTCGTCATGCGTGTTACATCTGCCACTGCCATTCACGCTACAGTCGCAACTGCTTTTGCATAGCGAATTGATCTGCTTCCCTTGTTGCTACCCAACCTACTTTGACACCTCACACCACCACCACCCACTGCCTCCCGCGCTAATGGCACAATTGCCACCCACCCCTCCGCTGCTCATACTGCAGGCATCACTGCCACTCACATCACCAAACGCATTTCCGCCCGCATTACCATCACCACTTCTGCCAGCACTGTCGGAATCATGTAGCTCCGCCCGGCCTGCTCTTGCAACTGCCCTCCTCTTCGAGCTATGTGCTCTGCCGCTTTGTCTTTACTGCTGTTGCTCTCAACTGGGCCTCGTCAGTGCCTTGAGTTCTCTACTGGTCCTTTCCCCATGTTCCTTGGCCCTCTCCACTTGCCCCCTCCGCAGTTGTCTGGTGGCTCCTGCCGACTGCCGCTGGAATTCCTCCTCTCCTGCACGCCCTGCGGGTTGCTCCCTTGCCTGCCCTCTTGCCCGCGCCACATTGGTGCAATGATCCGTTCTCTTCTGTCCTTGCGCGCTCACGAGCACCACTACCCCAGAGTCCTTGACCTCCTTCACCTTCCAGCGCTCTGTGCTCAGCCCAATGTCCATCAGATCGTGTTTAGCCTGCTTCAAGTATACTTCCTCCCCTGCTCCCAAGGCCTTGTCCTTTTTCCCTCCTTGCCGTTCTCCCCTCTTCTTGTACCGCTGGGCGTCCCTCAGTTGTGCCACGTGTAGGTTTTCCAGTGCCGCTGGTAAGAGCTCTCTCAAGTACCTCGCCCTCGCCTCCGCCAGCCCCACCCATTCCTCCTCGTTGGCCACTTCCACCGACCCCGTCAGAATTCTTGGCGCGTCTACAGGCAGCAAGGGGTCCCTTCCTAAGAGCAGATAATACGGCGATACGTCTCGTAACGCCGCTTGCTTACTGAATCTGTATCCCGCCACTACCCACGGAAGCCGTGTGTCCCAGTCCCTCTTAAACTGCTCTCCGTAGGCCCTTAGCCCCCGCTTCACCGTCTGTACAAAACACTCCGTGAGTCCGTCACTCTGTGGATGATATCTGGATGTCCTCCTGTGAGTGATACCTGTAGACCGCAGTAGCTTGTTGAACTCTCCCATGAACTCTGTCCCCTGGTCAGTTAGCACTTCCCCACAAGCCCCGAACCTTGTGAGCACCTGCTCCTCGAACGCTTCGGCTATTTTAGCCGAGTTCTTGCTGGGTAGGGCTTTCACTTCGACCCACTTGCTACCATGCTCAATCATGATTAAGATGATCAGCGGCATCTCCCCGGCCAAGTCGAGCGACCATCTGAACCCTATGCCATGTATCGGCAGCGACTGCAGCTCTTTCCTTCCCTGCTCCAGTTCCGCTTTGTTCCGGCTGCACAGCTCACATTTGGCCACCCACTCCCTGATATCTCTCCGCATCCCCGCCCACCACCATCCGGTCTCCACTAGCTGCGTGGTGCGCAGACTTCCGTAGTGACCCAACTGCCGGTGTACGGTGCTGATGATTTGCTCTCGCTCGTGTGGCCTTGGGACCATCTTCCATCCGTCCCGAGTGTTCTTCTGCAACTGCTCTTGGTGCCAGCGGTAGTGAACTCCTCTCGCCCTAGCCCTCTCACTTGTTGTAGTTTCCTCGGCTGTCTTCCCTTGCACCCAGTCTAGCACTTCCTGGTCTTCCCAGACATCTGCCGCCCCTGTCCCTTTTTCTCGGATGGCCCCTTCGGCATCCAGTTCTCTCGCTAGTGCCACTAGGCAGGCAGTGGGGTGAGGCGTTGGCGGGTTCCGTGACAGCCCATCTACGTGTTGCATGGTTTTGCCTGGTCGGTGCCGGATGGAGAAGTCGTATTCTTGTAAGCGCATGGCCCAGCGCGCGTTCCTCCCGGTTAGCGCTTGGTTGGTCATCAGCCACGTCAGTGGTTGGTGGTCTGTCACTAGCTGGAACTGCCTCCCTTGTAGGTATACCCGGAAGTGAGTGATAGCCCACACGGCCGCCAGCCCCTCTCCCTCGTACGAGCTGTAGTTAGCCTCTGCTGGGTTGCAGCTCTTGCTGGCGAAGGCGACTACCTTTTCTTCTCCTTCCCGCTTCTGACACAGGATCGCTCCCATACCCGCGCTGCTTCAGTCCGTGTACAGCACAAAAGGATCTTCCGTACTCGGCAGCGTCAGCACGGTGGCCGTTTTCACGGCTTTCAGCAGCGCCTGGAATGCCCCTTGCTCTGCCTCTCCCCATTCCCATTTCTGGTCTTCCCTCAGCAGCCGATTCAGTGCCGCGGCGGTCTTACTGAAGTTCGGGATGAATCCGGTAGTAATTGAGGAATCCGAGCACGGCCCGCAGCGTGCTCCTATCCTTCGGCTGTGGCACCCTATCCAAGACTTCCACCTTCGCTTGCTGAATCCCCAGCTGCCCTCCCTGAACTTCGAAGCCCAGGTACTTCACTCCGGTGTTCCCGAAGCTGCACTTCTTCGGGTGACACGTGAGGCCGGCTGCACGTATGGCGTCCAGCGTTGCTTGCACGTCCTTCACATGCTGTGCAGCGTCAGGACTGAAAACCACTACATCATCGATGTAACATGCCGCCGCCGGCACTCCGCGCAGTGTTGTGTCCATGACCCGTTGGAACAAGGCGGGCGCGTTTTTCATCCCGAAAGGCATGAAGCGCCACTCGTACGGGCCGTCTGGCCCATGGAAGGCCGTCTTTTTGCGGTCGGTGGCTCGGATGGGGATCTGGTTAAATCCTTGCCGTAGATCCAGGGTGGAGAAAACCTTGGCCCATTGCAGCTTATCAAAGATTTCTTCGGCTGACTGCATGGGGTACCTGTCTGCCACCGTGACCTTGTTCAGACTCCGGTAGTCCCCGCACATCCTCCGCGCGGAGACCGTTCCCGTCAGATCCTTCCGTGAGGTTACCACGGTAGCCGCTGCGTAGTCGCTCTCAGACCGCTGGATCAGCCCCGCTTCCAGCAACTCGCGGCATTTCTCCGTACAAATATCTAAGTCTCCCGGGCTCATCCGCCGTTTCCGTTGATATATAGGGACCTCGGTGGTGAGCTCAATCTTCATCTCATGCGTGGTGCACTTTCCCAGCTCCTGCAAAGTATACGCGAATGTCCCGCGGTGCTGCTTCAGCACTTCCTGCAAAGCTGCCGCTGACTCGGCATCCATTCCTCCTCCGAGTATCCACTCCTCTTCGGGCCCCCGTTCCTTCTTCTCTGGTGGGTCCGCCGCTGCCTCCCCATCTCCCTCGACTACTCCTTCTGCCGCTTCCATGGCCATGTATGCCGCCCACCCCTCGTCTATCTTCAAGTCATACCGCTCTTCGATCCGAGCAAGCGACTTCTTCTGCCTCTCCACTGTCTCTAGGTCACGGTAGCGTTCCCCGCACGCGATATCCCTCTGCAGCTCCTTCGCCTTCAAGTGCATCCGCATCGTGTCCAGGAGCCATGTCATTACATTTGTGTCCATGGCTCTGCCCAAGGCGGCTCGGCGCTGTTCTTCTGTCACTTCCGGATGTGCCGTAGCTCCCCACAGGTGCCCCATTGCTGCCTCCCGTTCATTCGCCGTCGGCTGCTCCCACACTCCTTTCCGCACGTCATAGATCATCCCTGGGCCCGGCAAATCTCCCTCCATAATGAATCCCCGGGCTTCAGCGTAGGACACTAAGGTAGGCAACGCCTGCCTCGGCTTGCCCGGCTCATTACACTGATATTGTGACGGGTGATCTGCGCACGTCACCGGCGCTGGCAGACGGTTGGGCTCCAGGATGTCGCTTACCAAGCGTGGCTCGGGCCGCTGCATCAGCGCCAGAGAGTGCCGCAGTGCTGCGGTAGACATCACATTCTGCCAGTACCGCCTTGGCCGATGTGATCGCGAACCCAGCTGCGTCGCGTCAGCCGGCACCCCTCGCCCCACGACTCCGATGATCTCCTCAAATGCTCTCTTCACCGGCTCTCGCTTGTCTTCAGCTAGATCTACATTCTCCAGAATGTAAGCCACTTCTCCTTGGCGCTGCTGAATCATCTCTAACACCCGCCGCAGGTCCCGGAACGAGGCTCCCCGCACGTCTTCCATCCCCAGGCCCTCCCCAGCTCTGGAGTACCCCTGACATTCCCACCCCGCAATGACCAAGTCTATGTGCCCCCAGCTCTCCAGTAAATGCTCTGAGATAGCTCGCACATCGTGCACCGCTGGTTCTGACTCGTAAGGGAGCGCGTCCTCCCACATTTGATCTGGGTATTCGTCTCGCAGCAGCTCAGCATGGTGGCGAGCCATCTTCCGCACGACTG